ACAAAACAACATGAAATTTTCTGAACTTCTCTTACCCATAGGGGCCTCTTTGTTTCTCCTGGGACAAGAAATAGAGGGCTTCTCCTGGAGCTCTTTCTTTTTCACCTGTTGCTTCGCTCCAGGTTTCAGGCTGTCTTTCAGTCCAGGCCAAGAGATACCAGAGGGGGAAAAATTGGGAAACTCACCACTGATTTGGCAATTCTTTGACTTCTGGTTTCCTTCCTCAACACTCTTAGTACCATATACTTTTCAGTATCCTCAGATAGCTCAGATGCATTCTGTCCAGAGTTTTTAATTGTATTCAGTAGCAGAAACAGTGTGGAATGTAATTTCTTCATCTTGACAGGAACTGGAACCCTGTTTGTCTTTTTATTATTTTGTTTTATGTATTTTGGATACAAGTCATTTGTCAACCGTAAGTGTAAATATTTTCTTCCAGTCTATGACTTGCCTATTCAATTTCTTAATGGTGTCTTTTGCTGAGCAGAAGCATTTTATTTTGATAATGTTCATTTTATGAAGTTTTTCTTATGGTTAATGCTTTCTGGGTCATGTGTTTAAAAAAACAAAAACAAAAGTTTGTTTACCCCAAAGCCACAAAGATGTTTTCTATGTTTCATTTTATAAGCTTTGTCATTTTAGCTCTTATGTTTAGGTCTATGATCCATCTTAATTGAATTTTGTATATGGTAGGAGGTAGGAATCAAGGTTCATTTCTGCCCATATGATTATCTGGTTGTTCCAACCCTATTCACTGAATACATTCATATACATTTAAAAAATATAATTTAACTTTAACTTGTCTATATTTTAAATGCGTTATCTTATTATTTAATTCTTTATTAAAGAAGAATTTATAATGGCATATGTATAGTAAATCACTTAACTTTGCCCTTTGCCCTCAGCTCCTGGCAGGTATTCTCTAAGCATTTGGAAAGTCCCATCTGATAAGAGTGCCTTTGTTTACCTGGGGCCAGAGAGTAGAACAATGTGATTTATGGCCAGGGCTTTGGATCTCATGGTATCAGCTCAACCTCCAAAGAGGTTAGAGACTGAGTTCAGTAACAGTCATGTCTATGTGATGGAGTCCCAGTAAAAAACTCTGGACACCAAGGCTCATGTAAGCTTCCCTGGTTGGAATACTCTGTACATATTGTCATACATCATTACAAAGAGGAGTTATCACTGTCCACAACTCTACTGGGAGAGGAACAATTGAGGGCCCCTTGCCTGGAACTCTCCTGAACTCTGTCCCTTTAGTCACTTCCCTTGCTTGATTTTAATTCGTATCCTTTCACTATAATAAACCATACTCATGAGTATAACAGCTTTTAGTGGGTTCTATAATTCCTTCTAGAGAATTCTTGAACCTGAAGGTTTGAGAACTTGCAATTGGTGTCAGAATCAAGGGTGATCTTGTGGAATGCCTCCTAAATTTCCCGTATAGCACAGTGTTTGTTAAATATGTTGATAACTGCTTCTTAATAAAATTGATTTCCTTTGTAATTGTATATATTTTATTTTATGCACTTAAAATTATTATTTTGAGAATAGGTCTACAGGCTTTACAAGATTGCCAAAGATGTTAAGAACCCCTGGTGAGGTAGAAAGACAGTCAGCTTTAGAATCAAAAGAGACCTGGGTTTAAATACCAGTTTACTGCTTCCTAGTTCTGTAACTTTAGGCACATCACTTAGCCTTCATTCATCTTTCATACATTGACAGATTCAATGCTATTGAGCATCTGCTACCAGCTATTGTATTAAATCTTGTGAATAGTGAACAAGACTTCTGTATAGAGTTTACAACTGGGTAGGGGAGGCAAAGGAGTCAACAGGCTGTTACACGACATAAGTAAGTGATTTGATAGCCAAAGTACAGAGTGCTATGGGAGCAGTGGGGTGGGGCTTCCAACCCAGACTTGTGTGGTCAGAAAAGATTTTCAGAGATAAGAGCACTAAACTGAGAACTGAGGGAGAAGGACATTAGACAAACAAAGAGCAGAATAAAAGTGATCCAAGCAGGGGAATGAACATGTGCAAAGGCCTTAAGAGGCATGGCATATTTTAAAAACTGAGATCAGTCTGGGGAGAACTAAGGGACCAGTAGTACAAAGAAGGACTGCAGAAGGGGCGGGGGGGCCAGACTGAAGGGTCTTCTAAGTCATTGTAAGTGAATAGCATCACTATCCATGCTGTTGGGCAAGGCAGAAATCTGAGGACTCTCCCTGTCCCTCATTCCTCAGACCCTCCAATCTACCCTTCACGGAGTTTACCTTCTAAATGTCTCTCAAATTATCCATTCTTCTCCATCCCCATTGCCATTAGCTTCATCCTAAGAGCAGTGGGAATCCACTGACCATTTTAATCAGGGTTGTGACAGGATCAGATTTAATTTTTAAGAGGATCACTTTGGTTGTGTGAAGAACGGGTTAGAGGGATTGAGAATAGAGAGGGGTGCAATTATTTGGAAATTACTGGAGAAATTCTGGTTAGGGAGGGTTAGTGCATGGGTAGTGGCAATGGGGATGGAGAGGAATGGGTAGATTTCAGAAACATTTAGGAAGTGTCTTAGGTTGGGTTCTCTAGAGGAGCAAAACCAGCGAAGCCTATATATATATAAATATATATATATACCCATTACCGTCTATATATATACAGTTATGGAGGCTGGAAAGTCCCAAATCTGTGGGTCAGGCATCAAGATGGAGGCTTTGCCTGACTCACGTGGTTGCAGGGGCCGATGAACCCAAAATCTGCAGGTCAGACGGCAGGCTGCTGGCTCAGGTCCCAGGAACCAGAGATTAGAGGATGATGAGTCAGATGTAGGATCAAGAGAGATCAAGCTTTGCCAGAACATCCATATAGACTGGATGCAGGCCACACACCCAAGGAAACTTCCCCTTTCAACTGATGGGCTGCTGCAGTACAATGAATTACTTAATATAGCCCTTCTAGCTGTTGTCTTTGTAACTCCCACCAAATGAATGGACGGGACTATGCAAATGAGGTGCTCGTGGCCCACCAAGGGGATTGGACAGTTTGCTGATAATGTAAATATGGTGCATGGCACCTTTGCAAGGGTTATAACCCATTGCTGTTATGTTGATTCTGACTCATAGCAACCATAAAGGACAGAGTAGAACTGCCCATGGGGTTTCCAAGGAACGGCTGGTAGATTCTAACTGCCGACCTTTTCGTTAGCAGCTGAGCTCTTAACCACTGTGCCATCAGGGCTCCTTTGCAGAGGTGGGACCATGCAAACTAAGCGTATGGAACCCTAACGATGGGATTGGTCAGTTTTGCCATCCCGCTAGGCTTAAAATGAGTCATTACAAAGGCGGGAAGATCTCACCGTGACTAAGAAAGAAGAGCCAGTAGTGGAGCACATCCTTTGGACCCAGGATCCCTGCACTGAGAACCTCCTAGATCCAGGAGACAGAGAGAGCTGTAACACTGGAGATGGCGAGAGATGACGAGAAGCAGTGGCGGAGAAATGGCAGCAGAAGCAGCAGAACCAGGAGACCAGGAGGAGACGGTGCAGTGGGCTTCTTGGCCCACAGAGCTAGAAAGCTGAGCATCTTTGTGCAGGAGGCTACCTGGTGGAGTACGGTGCCTCCGAGCACTTATTGGCAGAGCTAAAAGAACTTTGTAACACTTGCCTGAGCAGGGCAGAGGCCAAGGGGCCAGAGGGAGGCATGCCTGCAGGCATGGCTGGGAAGAGGCTGTCCTGATCAAAGAATTGTATCCTGAATGTTCTTGAACCTGAATTGTAACCTGTTACTTCCCTAATAAACCCCATAATTGTGAATATTGCCTGTGAGTTTTGTGTGGCTATTGCAACAAATTATCGAACCCAGCAGAGAAGTAGAGAGTGTGGTGGGAGGGATAGCTGGTGTCAGAATTGGTAAAAAGATTGGAGAAGGGAAGTATGTCTAACTTCTGCCTTATAGGAATCAGCCTTGGGCTGTTGATCTTGATTTTCTTTCCCGTTTGTGAAGTTAGAGGAGGTCAGACGTCCCTGCCATGCCATTTTTACAGTTACTCAAATCAGATCACAAAATGGAGGATGATTACATAATATCTGCCAAACCACTGAGAATCATGGCCTAGCCAAGTTGATACATAACCTTAACCACCACAGGAAGTAAACTCAGTGAAGGGTAGATTGGAAGGTTTGGGGAATGAGGGAGAGGGAGATTCCTCAGATTTCTGGCTTGCCCAACAGCATGGATAGCCATGCTATTCACTGGAAAAAGAGCAGAATAGGAGAAGATAAAGTCGAACTTGAACATGCGGGATTTGAGGTGACTGAGTGAGGATGTTTAGTTGACTTTTGACATAAACCCATTGCCAGAGTTGATTCCGACTCAGCCACCCCATAAGACAGAGTGGAACTGCCTCATAGTTTCCAACGCTGTAAATCTTTATGAAAGCAGACTGCCACATCTTTCTCCTGCTGAGTGGCTGGTGGGTTCGAATTACCAGCCTTGGGTTAGCAGCCAAGCGCTTAACCACTGTGCCACCAGGGCTCCCTAGACTTTGGACATACTGGTCTGAAAACTGGAAGAGGGGCTTGAAATAGGCCGCCATCTGTGTCCATGTTTTAACAGATGCCATAGGCGGCATTCCTCCCTTCCTTGCTTCAACATTTGTTGAAGATCTACTATATGCTGGATGTTGGGGATACAACAGTGAACAAGACAGCTGGATATCGGCCCTCAACCAGTTTACAGTGTACCCCTCAGACCTTGTTCTTACTCTGTAAATGAATATCAAAATGAGATTAAGATTGGGGAACGTGAAGGCATCTGGCCCTTTTACTTTTTATATCTGTTTCTCATCTTCGGGAGCAGGAAGAGGAACTGGTCAACTGCTTTAGTTTTTATAGCCTTAAGCCATCGGCTCTTCCGCGCAGGCGCCGTGGATATCCCTGGAGGACTTCACGGGCCCTCGTTTCCCGGGGCCAAGACCCGGCGGAGTAGAGGGAGCGGCTGCCTGGTGACGTCATCGAGCTGCGCCGCCTGCGGGGCAGAACCGGAGCGCGACGGCGGGGCTGACGCGCCCGGGAAGGCTTGTGGGGAAACGAAACAGAGGGAGGAGGCCGCGGCTCTGGCAGCTGCAGGGCCTGGCCCAGCGGCAGTGGCGGCGGCCTGATCCCCGTCTCCGCTCCCTGGCAGCTCGCTCTGTTCCCTCAGCGTGAGTGCCGACGCGCGGCCCGGGGGGAGCGAGCGGGCGGGAGCGCGGGCTCGGCATCCCTCTTCTTTCCCCCACCGCCGCCTCGGCCCCCAACCCGCGGTGGTTACCTTCGCCGCCTTCTTGCCTCTTCTCGCTCACCATCTCCCTTGGTCCCTACTCCTCCAGCTCTCAGGAGCCTGAGCTGCTGCTGGCATATGTCTCCGCGCACACATTCATACACACGTTATTCTTCAAATGAAAAGGCCTGGGGAGAAGGGAGCCCGTCTCATCTCTTCCTTCTGTGAATGGGGGTTGCGGTGTGAAACTGAGGCCTAGGGAGAGGCTACTGGAAAGGGTTTGCACCCCGTCTTTGGGGAAGCAGCAGGTAGAACCAAGCTTCCTGCCTTCTGCTTAGAGGTTCCCCTGCCACCGCACATTCTTTTAGCATGTGTAGGTTACTTGAGCTTGGGCACTGGCTAGCTATGTGACCTTACCTTCTCGGGCCTCAGTCTTTACCAGTAGAAAATGAGTGGGTTGAACTAGATGGTTTGGAAGGTAATGAGGTTTGGAGAGAAGCATCAGCATCTGCTGCCTTCAACACGAATACCTCCTCTCGTTTTCTTGGGCCCACCATTGCACAGTCTACATTGAGTTTCCTGTGCTTTCAATCTCCCCCAGAGTCGGTTAAGACTCAGAAGGGGCTTTTTGCTTTTTGTTGGCTCTGTGATGGACTTTCCTACAGCTCACCTTGTGGGCCTTATTTGGGAGATTTAAGACTGTGGTTTAAAGTGAAATGTGGTGCAGCTTGGTCTTGCTTTTCGTTTACTCCAGTTCTTCCTACTTCTCCAGGACAGTCCCTGTCAGTGCTTAGTAAGAGGATACCTCCTTAGGAGGGATGAGATTGTGTGTTAGATCGACTGCTTCATCCTTGAGCTAGAGAGAAGTAAAACATGTGACTTAGGGTTTTGCGAGGTTGAGGGATTGGTGGCACCTTTGGACTTTATTGCTTTCTTGTTGGTAGCTGCTGTGGCTTATGCTGTAAGCCTGCCCTTGTGCCCCTGTATTTCTCCTTCCCCGTGGAGTGTATTCCAGCTGGTTACCCACCCTGTATGCCCTTATGGTTTGAGTCCTTTCTCTTTTTTGGGCCTTCTTACAACCAATCAGAGCCCTGGTGGTATCGTGGTTAAGAGCTCGGCTGCTGTCCAAAAGGTTGGCAGTTTGAATCCACCAGCCGCTGCTTGGAAACCCAGTGGGGCAGTTCTGCTCTGTCCTATAGGGTCACTATGAGTCAGAATCGACTTGACGGCATTGGGTTTGGGTTTTTTTTTTGCAAGCAATCAGTTGTCTAGAAACCACACGGTATTCGCTACTTCACTTGCATGCTCTTTTAAGTTGATCATTCCTTAAGATTTCAGGATCTTGTAATCATGTCATTTGATCCTATTTCTTCTCATGCTTGCCTCTTATATCAACCCATGGGCATGGATGATGATGACATGGTGCCTACCTGCCCCCATTGTTTTTTGTGGAGGTGGTTTTCTGTTCTTAAAATTATTGTTTTGTACTTCTTTCCTATGATATGGCTACCGAATAACTTTCCCACTTTTCCCTCAGTCCTAAGTCAACCACTCCTTGTGCTCCTTACTCTGGTTAAAAACTTTCCCAATTCTTTAATATTTTCAAACATATATCTCTTAATTTTCTTGGTAAAATAATAATGGTGATGAAGCAGTCATTTGGATTAGTGTTTTTACCTTGGAAGTATTGGTTGGTTTTGTTGATTAGGTTTCATAATTCATTTCCAGTGTACGTTGTTATGACCAGTTTTGCATCAAAAGCATAGAATAACAAGTACCCAAGGGTTTTTTTTCTTTTATGGAAATTGATCCATGACTTTTTGGTACCTGATACCAGCAACAACCCAGGGGCCTCTGGGTCTGTGAGCAGCACATTTTCCAGTAAAACTAACATCTTTGAAAACCAGAGCTTGGCTAGCATGCTTCCCTGAACCTCTTTCTGAGGAAGAGGTTATTCAAGTGCTGGCACTGGAAGATGTTTGGAGTTGCCAGATTCCATCCCATTGATGATTTATACTTGGAATCCCTGCTCTGATCCCAGTGACTGTGACTGAAGGGTAGCTAAATGTCTGGATTTGTGATTGCAGTAACAATGAAGAGGAGAATTGACCCAGAATGCACCGCCCCCATCAAGAAGCAGAAGAAAAGGGTTGCAGAGCTTGCCTTGAACCTCAGCTCCACATCTGACCCTCCACATGAACCTCCCTCCTCCATCAATCATTCAGCAAAAGGTATGCTTGCCCATGTGGTGTGAGGCCATTGGTCAGTTGATTATTTGAAGCCCTGATGCCTGAATTGGGCAGTATACAGCCCACTGCCCCTTGAGGAGAAGTAGGCAAATTCTACAGAGAGATGTTGACTGTAGACTTTCTTCCCTTCTGCTGTTCTCTAAGAGTGGGGAACTTGTTTTAAATACAAAATTGGAATTTTTCCGCAAGTGTCTTACTTCTGTAATTGACCCGTCAGTAGATGTCACTCTTGTTGTCTTAAACAAATTGGTAGTAGTGGTGAACATTGAGTGTTCTGTGCTCTTAATAGCTATTAATGATCCTGAGGCTCTTTCACAGGGGAGGGACTCTTTGCTAATGCAATCTGGCCTAATTCCTCTCAGGTTTTTGCATTCTATTTTCTCAATTCCGGCTGCAGTTGTGGTCAGAAACAACCAACTGTATAGGAGAATCCCTTTGTTCACTGTTTGCATTAAGCACCAAAGATTTTACTCATCTGATTGAAACCAGCATTTTGCTTAGCATACTTTTTAGGGTTATGGCCATCCACAGTTTCCTTGGATGCTTCCTGTGAGAAATTGTGAAGTATCTAGGAGCCTGCCTTAAATTCTAGGCAATTAGAAGTAGTTCCATTTGCATTTACCTTGACTTGCCAACAGCCTTGCATTTTGGATCCTCTGCTGGATCACTGGTAAACTAGAATGATGACTGAGCAGGTGTGAAGTGTCCTTTGAAGGTGGTAAAAAGTACAGTTTATTCACAAGTGTAGGCTACTTGAAGGGCAGTTACTCATCAGCTGTTACTGAGAAGCTGATCCAGAGAGGAGAAGCTTAACAGTCAGTACAGCTAATGAAGCATTTTGTGTGGCTGTGGTCCAGGCTGGGTAAGACACTCTCTTATAACTCTGTATGTGCAGATATGTGTGCCTTTAAAGTTGTCAAGGTGGGTTCCAGGATGGGAGAGAAGGTATATATGTAATTGGGGTTCTTAAGTGGAAAAGCAAAAACACATTGGGCCCGTTGGTATTAGGGACTGTTGAGGAAAGGGAATATTGCTTCTCCCCTGGGATTTGAGCAGCTTGGTGAAGGTAGAGAGTCTCCTTGGATAGGGCTCTGGGGTATTGGAGAGACAGCCTACAAGGGAGAAAAAGGGAGGGCGTGTCAGGGGAATAAGTAATATTCAGGTAGTGGAGGCATCTGGTTCTAAGTGGATCTTGGGGGACATTTGGTCTCAAGTAACATCTCTTTGAAGTAAAGAGACGACAACTCTTGGGTGAAGGAAAGTAAGTGTATGTAAGGCTCCTTCAGGGGGACCAGTCTGATTTAAATTTCAGGCTTTTAAAAGTGTGACTGAATTGAGATTGTTTCCTTCCCTCCACACTCCCATTAATTTTATCAAATAGCTTTAACCTTTCGGAAAGTAGTGCCATGTGACTCATCCAGGACTGACTATTGCTGTTGTGTGCATAGAATGGAAATCCAGAGGTGGCCACTCCCTTGTGTGTGTACAGCGGAAGGCCAGTTGGTCCCTTTCATTTGCAGAAAATGAGGTAGGAGGCAAAGGGAAAGCAACATTGCTAGACTCTGGCATCTTTTATCAACAAGACTGCTCTCTATGCCCCCTTCATCCCTCCTCCAAAAAAGGCCTGACTTGGAGTAAAGTGCTGAGTAAATATTTGCTGAATGGAATTGATAGAAGGCAACAGTAGTATCTTTCCCAAGAAGCTTAAAATGTTTCACATCTTTTATTTTGCCTATCCCTCCTCCAGTCTACAGAAGATCATTTCATTAAGCACTTAATATTTATATCATCTGTGTTCTGTTTTTGCTCCTCTTACACATTCCCTGGACAGTGTGCCCTGGTAGTTTGCTGTTTGCCCAGAAACTACACATTCCCTGAGGTATATACAACGCTTTCTTATTCAGGTCATTGCTAGAGCAGGTTTGTTTCCTTTTGCTCCAACCACTTCTGCCTGGGCATACTGTACAAATAGATGACTGAACAATGCTCTTTAGGGAGGACAATTAGAAAAAACAAAACAAAAAACCAGTAGTTACTGTTTCTGTCTATCTGGGCCTTGTTTTTGCTTCCTCTGCTAGATCAGTGTAATGACTCATTAATAGATGTTTCATTCAACCGGTTTGTTTATTTTACATTATTCACAAGGTAGCTGCAGTACTGACACCTGGCCAGAGTGGTGGGAAAAGGGATGTGGTTGTCATGTCCAGTGCTGATGATGTGTTCTTTTGAGTATTTTAAGAGGAGCTTGAAGGCATTTTCAAGCATAAACTCTTGGAAATTTGCTGTCAAATAGCAACCTTTTGAAGTAAGGAGAGGTAGATGAGGTCATTTTGTTCTTTTTGGTTGTTTCTCACAGAAACTGGTCTAGACCCCGGAATCTTTCCTTCTCTCCTCAGAATGGAGCCAGTGTGGGTTTCTGGCCCTTCTGCAGTGAGTTGCTTTGAAAGTTGCCAGCCTCCTTCACCAATACCACCCTAACTATGCCTTTCCTTCCACCAGGTTTTATTCTTGCCTGAATAGGCTATTTGCCCTGAAACACCATTGCTTTCCTGTCAGCCCAGATTCATGACCTTAATCAAAAACTTCCTTTATTGGTATCTGTTTAAATTGCTCTAACGAGTTGCCATTTGTCTGGCATGAAGGAGAAATTAAGTCTTTGAACAGAAATGAGTGTGTTCTACAGTGATAGTTAGGCAGGATGTGTTTATTAAAATCCATAATTTATTCTTCTCTATCTGTGTGCTGCTCACCTTGGCCATTAGTGGTTGGAGCTGCCCTGCTTGTGTGTTGTGACTGTCATTTTTAATCTTGACACATTTGCCCTACCGCTCTCTTGCTGTGTGAAAAATTTTGCCAGCAGCTGGAAAACCTTTGGTTCCTCTATAAAGTCAACCTTTCTTCTTTAAAATGGCTGAAGAGTTATGATTTCTATCAGGTAGAGAAGAAACTAAATGAAGACACTAAATAATGTTTTGGGCTCACTGGTAGGTTTAGAAAGGGAGCTCCTGGGGAAGTAAATGGGAATGCCTCCCAGGCTTGGCAAGTTCTTAATGAAACTAATGATTTTAATAGACTGACCTTATTACTCCCGTTAATTTATATTCTCATTATAAAATTGTCTGCTCAATATTTGCTAAATTCTTATCAGTCTTGGGGGGCTAAATCTTCTCTTTAGCTTCTGCTGCAGCCATGACAGTTGTCTCCTATTCATTTGAAAAGAGTAGCCCCAAGGGCTCATGGCTAAGAATGAGTTGTGTCTGTGGCAGTCTGTGGACACTGGGACTAATCCAGGGACCGTTGTCTTAAATCATGTCAGTCTAAGAATTGGTTTTGAATACCACGTGAAATGAAATGGTGAGAGAAGGCTTATCTGCTTATCCAGCACACTTCTTGACCTGACAGAGAAATGGCTAGGAGGGTCATATTTTAGCTCCCATCAACCTCACTCTCTGAACTTGGAAAAGGGAGCTGTTTAGTAGGTGACACCTTGGGAAGAGGAATGGAGTGGAAAGATCTTTGTGCTAGGTATCGAGAACCCTAGGATTTTGCACCAGAGTCACCACTGATTTGCCTAGTGAGCCTTCAACCCAAATTTGATTGTCTCTGTCATTTTTGCCTGAAAATGTGATGAAGACAAAAGATCTCTGAAATCCGTGTGTGGCAGGAACCCTACCCAGGAATAATAATCACACCGTTCCAATGCCTGTTGATGAGTCTTCAAGCAAGTCTAACCGCCTAGCAACGCCTTAGAGTTGAGGCATAGGTAGACTCCATGAGTCCCCAGATAGCTAGTTGAAAGGAGTAAGAACTGATTAAATTTAACATTGTAGGGACCCTGGCTCCCTGGGCTGCACAGAAAGAAACTTTAGAGCTGTGTTCAGGGAGCTGCCCATGTTCCTGGTACCACTTCTTTCCATCCCAAGCAGTACAGCTTGAAGGCTCAGGAGTAGAGTGAAGAGAATCAATACTTTCAGAAGTGCTATTCTTTAGCATGTGGGCACTCCGCATGGGAGATGAGAGGCCCAGGGACATTCTTCAGCCACTCAGGGGGCCTTTCTCCTCAGCCCTGCTGCCCTCTGAAGATTTCCCTAGAAAAGGACCAAACTCTTCCCAAGGCTTAGCATGGTACTTTATTTATTTTCCCCTAATTTTCAAACCTATATATTCTCATTCTCCACAAATTGAGAAAATGCAGAAAAATGAAAGAGAAAAAAATAAACCACGTCACCTCACGTCTCAGTTTCCATGGTTACTCATTGTTAATGTTCTGATGTCTTCTGTGTGGCACTCTGTGACTGTTGTGCTGCACTGGTCCATATAAGCGAGTCAGCTTCTTATTAAAATGGCATTGGACAGCCACCTTAAGGGGAAGGGGCAGATTTGGTGCCTCTCATACAGTAATGGTCTCAACCAAAATTCCTCTTTGCTAACTGCTTAGGAGCCAGACTTTTTGTATTAAGTTTATTCAAATGTTTTTACACATGTTTACCTGCTTTTTCTTCCTTTTATAAAATGTTATATCCTTTTAAAAAATGTATATTTGTCTATTAGAATTTTAGGCTCCCTGAGGCTAGGATTGTTACTTTTGGTTAGCACCCCATTGTACATAGCATTGACCTTTTATAGAACAGGTCCTGAGCAAAGGTTGTCTGATCTATTAAACAATATCAGTGCTCTGGATCCTGACAGATGTCCTATTTCAGCTTACTTGAGGGGTAAATCATAGCCTGAGGAGGTCCCAGTTAGGTTGTAAATATTCCATCCTCGTCCTTAAACTTTTGAGTTCTGAACATTTTGTAATACTTGTATGAGGCATTAATTGCATGCACACTATAGTGAATTTAAAGACCTGAGAGCCAGGTACTGAGTGTAGGGCTCTGTCTTAGTCATTTGGTGCTGCTATAACAGAAATACCACAAGTGGTTGGCTTTAACAAAGAGAAATTTATTCTCTCACGGTCTGGTAAGCTACAAGTCCAAATTCAGGGCACCAGCTCCAGGGAATGCTTTCTCTCCCTTTTGGCTCTGGAGGAATGTTCTTGTGATGCATCAGTCTTCCCTTGGTCTGGGAGCATCTCAGTGCAGGAACCTCAGGTCCAAAGGACGTGCTCTGCTCCCGGCACTGCTTTCGTGGTGATATGAGTTTTCCATGTGTCTCTGCTTATTTCTCTGTTTTATATCTCAAAAGAGATTGGCTTAAGACACTACCTAATCTTGTAAATCTCATCAGGCCATCTTATTACATCATAGTGATAGGATTTACAACCCATAGGGAAATCACATCAGATGACAAAATGGTAGACAGTCATACAATACTGGGAATCATGACCTAGCCAAATTGACAGATAATTTTAGGGGGACACAATTCAGTCCTTGACAGGCTCCTTAAGATATGGATTAATCAGTTAGGCCTGGGAGTGTTAGGAAAGCCTCTTCCTTCTTTAGGAATGTCAGCCCTAGGTAAGTTTGTGTTCTAGTGGGGAAATGGATGGTTAAGTGCAGACAGATGAATTACGATGTAATTCTCACGTTGTGAATGCCTGAATAGTGACTGTCTTGGGTATATAGAGACTTGTTTTACACTGCTGCCCTCTGTGCCTTTCATCAGTACCCCACAAGCAGCCATGCTTTAACTCAGCATCTCTTTTAAAGAAATTGTGCCATGTTGCTAAGTCAGTTTTCAAAAAATTATTTATTTAAAATTCTAATGGCTAATATATTCACTTAGTTCATGCACCAAAAAATTAAAAAAAGGTATCCAGTGTAAACTGTAGCGATATAAAAATGTAAATCAGGTGTCACTTATTTCACTTTCATTTGTTCCATGCCCCAGCCCCTGCATATATGGATAATCACTTTTATTGGCCATGTATATCTTCCTTTCCAAAAGTTCTCTGTGCAGTTAAAAGAAATAAAAATGACACAGTGGTTCAAGCACTCGGCTGCTAACCGCAAGGTTGGTGGTTCAAACACACCAGCCACTCCACAGGAAAAAGATGTGGCAGTCTGCTTCCATAAAGATTTACAGCCTTGGAAACCCAGTGGGGCAGTAGAACTCTGTTTCCAACTCTGTCCTATAGGGTCACTATGAGTTGGCATTGACTCGACGGCATTGGGTTTGGTTTTGGTTTGGGTCATACATAAGAATTTGGATACTATGCTCATGCATATGGTCTGGCTCATATATTATTCACTTTACTGTGTGTCCTGGTGATCTCTCCATTGCAATACACAGAGCAGAGGTTTCCAAACTTTCTTGGCTGTCAGCACCCTTAGTGTCACTGTAACTTTTTTCACAGTTTCCCTAGGCCAAAAGAAATACCTAACACTTCAGTATATTAAGTTGTTAGGTCCAAATGGTAAGCATTTATATACTAACAACTAATAGACACTTGAAAGAGTTACACATAAATTGAAAGAAAAAAATATACTTTTTTTCTTAAGTAATCACAGTTACTTATTAATGAGATGTGTGCATCTGTTGGGCACTGTACAACTCAAACTTTGAAGTCAGATCAGACACCACCACTCGCATTTCCTGTTCTGCATTCCTCCTGTCTTGTGATATATGCCATTGTCAATGGGAATACGCATACATTGTTAACAACCAAAATTTTGAGATGCAATCTGTTTCCAAGTTTGGGTGGGTTTGCCTGAGAAGCTACTGGAATAAAATTACATTGGGTTGAAAGAGCTTTCAAGTTAATAGATTCATGTACCCACATAGCAGAGGAAAAGAGCCATTCACAGTGACTGTCCAGACAGGAGATCATCCCAAATTTGAGACAAGTAGCCCACCACTCCCAGCAACTGCTAAGATGGGTCTGTTTTTTTGAGCCCTTTTGGCAACAAGGAGATGATGGCCTCACTCACTCAGGCTGCCAGCTCCCTCCTGGAGCTTTTAGCTGCAGTTCCTCTCTTCTCTGCCTCAGCTGATGCTGCTGCCTTAGCTTCACCCCTTTTCCCTGCTTTCCTCCTCTTATTGCTTCCTCCCCTTTTCCCTCTCCTCCCTCTTCACCCTCATTCTTCCCCCACTTCTCTCTCTGTGAGCCAGCTCTTCTCTGGTAAACTCAGTCCTCTTACCTATAAATTTGAAGGACTATGAAAAGGAATTAGGAGATTGAACAATCAGAAAAAGTTATTCTGATGAAGGGATTAGTTGAAAATGGAAACAGGCATCAATGTTTGGAAATTGAGAGTCAAATAATAAACAGCAGCAGCAGAAACAACAGTCATATCTTCAATAAATGTACTTTTTATTTGACATTTTATTTTCAGATACATTATTTAACCTTCAAACAACCTTGTGAGGTAGGTATTACCATCCCAGTTTTAGAGGGGAGGAAACTAGGGGATGGGGAAAGAAAAGTGATATTTTTGAGCTCCCATTGTGCGTCATGTACCATTAAGAGCATTCAGTGACTTGCCCAAGATGGTATAGCTAGGAAGAGCTAGAGAATGGATTTGATGCTGGATCATTTAATAAACTTTATATGTGGACACTTGTTGAATAATGAAACTTGGAGTTCTGGAGGCTGGTTTGTGCCATAAACACACCTGAACATTTTCCTTTCTTCCTCCAGCATCTGCCACAAGCCTAAGTGGTTCTGACAGCGAAACTGAGGGGAAGCAACACAGCTCTGACTCTTTCAACGATGCATTCAAAGCAGACTCCCTCGTGGAGGGAACTTCCTCTCGTTATTCCATGTATAACAGTGTCTCCCAGAAGCTTATGGTATGTCCGTATTTGGGTTGGGTTTCTAAAGCTTCACCAGCACAATGAGAGAAGGGACATTTGTATTGGTATAAAAGAAAAAAAGCTAGGGCATGAGTTTTTTCTCTGCTTTCCAGCTACTGAAATTCAATAGAGAAGACCCTCTTCTCAATAGAAATATCTATCACATTTGAATCACCTGTGGGAAATGGCTGCTGAGGCCTGCTTCTCCTGTCTTGTCCAGAGCTGGATCATCTTTTGGTCCCCGTAGTAATGAATTCTTACTATGAGCACATATGAACATACTTCCCTACACATGGATATGTGCAGATGGGTAAAGGGGCCCCATGCTGTGAGTTTTTGCTCTAGTGAGTAATCTCAAAAGAAATGACTAAACTCTTACTCCCAGGTGCCTAAAATCAATGAGAATGGCACAGTGTTCCCTTCCAAAAGAAGGGCACATTTCTCTTTCCCAACTTCCATACTCCATTGATATACCACAAGAAGGAGTTGAAGAGGAAGACCTGCTCACTTCCTCATTACATTTTAGGGTATGTGCAAAAGTTAGGGAAATCTAAGTTAGCCTTTCTTCTATCAGCAGGAATATTATAGTTGGCTCCTCCTTTTTCTCTTGGATTCATTTAAGAATGAGAACTGCCACTTCTGAAGTTGTAGTTAGGATTCTAGTTTGGGGGCCACAGGCTTTGGTGAAGTGGAAGATGGAGGCTTGTGATTCAGTCAGTCTCTTTGATTTGGGGGAAGGATTTTTGGCTACTGTAGGAAGTCCAGCTGCCTCTTGAGCTGGTAATGTCTTTCCAAAGGGAATATAGGCTCTCCAGGGGGAATTAGATCTTAGGGTTGGAGTTCTTTTATTAGGCAAAGGTCTGTGGGGTTTGGGATTAGGATCTCTGACTTTTGAGGTGTGCATCTGGGCCCATTGGCTCTAGAGTTTAGTGTAAGCTTATAAACAGCTGTGACATGTAATAAATATTTCTTCCCAGGATCTTATAGTACCTTCTATACCTCAGTTTTACATGAAACAAGTTTTCAGTTAATCTCTTGATTAAGTGGGCTCCTACAACCCCTCATTGTCCTTGCCTAGTAAGACTGTTTGACTGGCTGAGGGTAAGTTAGAAGTTGCTTGAAGCAGTTCCATTTTAAATTATATTCTCTTTATAAACTCTGTACTCTAGATGTACCTCTCACTTAATCAGATAAATTAGCTGGAAGGGTAGTTGTGCAAATGTGCAGTAAGATTCATTACGTACTCCTGGTGCTTTTAATTACAGCTATGAGGTCCTTTCTCATTTATCTAACTTCTGGTTGCCATAGACTTTCACCTCCAGAATAGACAGCCACTGGGCCTATAGTTATATTGCAGTTATTTTTTTATGTCTCTTCATGAGGCCAGAAGGCAAATTTTAGGCTTTACTAAATCTGTATTTCTCAGGGTTTAGCACAATGTCTGATACGTGATAGAGGCTAAATAAATGTCTGTTGAACTGAATTAACTGTGCTCCATTATTTCCCTTTGTCAGGCCAAGATGGGCTTCAGGGAAGGTGAAGGATTAGGTAAATTCAGCCAGGGTCGCAAGGACATCGTTGAGGCCTCTAATCAAAAAGGTCGAAGAGGCTTGGGTCTGACATTGCGGGGCTTTGATCAAGAGCTGAACGTGGACTGGCGAGATGAACCGGAGGTAACTGGTGTGGGGAGGGGAAGCAGGAAAGCCTCTTGTGTTTTTAGATGCATGGGTTTCAGATGCAGTATTAACAAACTGGAAAGCTCCAGAGGCAATATGGTTAGGGTGGCTAGAAGGAATCGGAACTGGTTTCTTACATGGAAGGTACTGGGGATGTCCAGAATGGAAAAGAGAAGACGGGGGGCAGATATGATAGGATGTGGGTTTGTTTCCTGTTGCTTTAGAGGGCCATCTAAGACCAGTGGGTAGAAGATGCTGGGAGGAAGAGTTTGGCTCCACCAAGAACTTTAATAAATAAATACAGCTCTTCACCAGTGGACTAAGATACCTTACAAGGTAGTGAGCTCTCCCTACTGGAAGTATTCAAATGGGCAGAATGAGGACCCATTCTCCCACAGTGTGAGAGGTGGATTAGGTGCCTTCTGAAGATCTTACACCTCCACAGGTTTATAACATCCAGTTTCTAACTAGGTGTTTGTTGATAGCATGTAGCTTTTCTACTGTGGGTTTAGTCTGCATATCTGTTTGGGTACCAGTTTGTTTTAACCCTGAAGACCAAAAAACCAAAACTCATAGTCGAGTCGATTCCGACTCATAGCAACCCTATAGGACAGAGTAGAACTGCCCCATAGGGTTTCTAAGGCTGTAAATCTTTACAGAAGTGAACTGCCACATCTTCCTCCTGCAGAGTGGCTTGTAAGTTCCAAGCACCAGCCTTTTGGTTAGCAGCTGAGTGCTTAACCACTACACCACCAGGGGTCTTTTGAAGACCAAAAAAGACCCCTGTTATCCATTTTTATTGCACAGATAATGTTAAGATTTTATTTTTATTCACTTATTTATGTCCCACCTCATTCCACAATGAATTTGAAGCGGATATAATAAAAGCACCTAAAAAATAATGGCGGAATATTACCATTACAGAGCCGAGACTAGAGAGAATAGAACACAAATGTTTAGCCTTCTACATAGTTGCTATAGTTGAGCTTCAGATGTGGCTCTGAACTCTGAAAAGTTGATATTTTACTTGTCTTCCTGATGTTCCAGTTCAGGAAAGAACTCCAGTGAACCTGCACATGATACAAGGCTAGTAAGGCTTCAGAGTAAGATGCTGACAAGCCAGGAGCTGATGGCTTCTGGGGCGGTCCTGCTGTGTTGTCTTGTAGTTGTGAGGAGTTGAGACTAGCAGAATTGCATATGAGATGGTGCAGAATAGGGTAAATATTTGTAATTGGTTGCTAGACGTAGACTTTCACCTCAGAAATACCTGGCGATTTCCATGACCTCATTTGTGTGAAAACAAAGAATCCCAATCCTTTTCAGCAGAGCAGAAATAGAACTAACTTTGATAAATTTGCAATCTGAAATTTGCCTATAAAATCTCTGATTTTAATGGAGACAAACTGTTGAAATTCCTTTTTGGGCTGAGGCTCTCCTAGCTACCACTTACCATAATTCCATTTTTCTCTAACAAAAGATGCCCTGTCTTTTGGTTGAGTTTGGCCTGCATAATAATTGGTAGCTGCTTCTTTAAGGTAGATGAGTCTGGGTGGCCTGAAGTGAATATCCAATCTCCAGAGCCACCTCGGGGAAAATGCGCAGTGGCTACTGCAGCCCAGGGATGTCGAGTGCAAGGTTTGACCCTTTGGACAAGGTTCACTTTGTAGGTGGCCTTAATGTCCAGATTTCCATGGGGAGAGTGGTTCTGCTTTTTCTTTTTAGAGGGACATCCAAAATGGATATGAGCTTCTTTCCTAGAGTTTATAATTTACAATTATTTATGCTTTAAGGTGATGGATTTGACCAGGGGGAGAAGCTATGATTCACTGCCAGATTCACTAACAAAAGACTTCAGTAATTTTTCTTTTAAACTTTTTTCTGTTGATGGTGGTCGGCTTACCCTCAAGACCTCGCATTGTGATGCCATTTTATGCCTTTCAGAGCGTGTAATATTACCTTTAATCGCATTGCTTCAATTTGCAATGGTGAATCTCTTCTCCACACTTGGCTCGGGAGGCTGTGTGTGAAGTTGCCATGCAGGTTAATCGCCTGTTTAGGTTTTATAATCCACATTTCTCTTAGCCTGGTGGTTCTTATCCCTAGCGGCACATTAGAATCATCTGCGAACTTTTAAAAAGGACTTATGCCCAGTCCCCACCTCAGTTGTACTGAGAATCCTATATTCTGGGGGTGGGGCCCAGGTATCACTACTTTTCAAGAGGACTGCGAATGGTCCTAATGTACAGCCGAGTTGAGAACCACTGTGATAGCCTGATAAGGAAAGTAATTGAAAGTTAAGAGGAAGCAGCTATCAGAGATGCCAGTTTCTGCTCTGTCTTGGAATGAATGGAGAGGAAGCCTGTTCAGCGGTCACCAGTCTCTAGGTTACTTTGTGAATAACACTTTGGAAGGCATCAGGTGGGAATTCCCTCTTGATTGTTTTGGGCAGCCCTGGTGAGTAGGGGCACAGCCTTGAGGGTCTGTCTTACCTATCTTATTTGCCTCTCTTTTATTTATAGCCCAGTGCCTGTGAGCAGGTGTCATGGTTTCCAGAATGTACCACTGAAATTCCTGACACTCAAGAATTGAGCGATTGGATGGTTGTGGGAAAGGTAGGGTTTCGGGAAGATGCACCTGAATCTTGGCACTTATCTCCTGGCTTTTCTCCTCCTGTTTGGTAGGTATGTCTACTTGCAGATTAAGAAAAATGTGAATCTGACCATTCTGGCAGGAATACGACTATGTCAAGAGGGTGTGTCAAATATACCCTGGGAGATGTGACAAATTTTTTTTTTCCTCCTAGTTATTTAACTTGCAAGGCAGAACAAAATGCATAACGTCTATCGTCCTCATGGGTGCTTTCTGAAGTAGTTGATTATGCATCTGTGTATATTCTGGTCACTGCTGGGCACTGTTCCAGGTAGATGAAAAGACGGTCTCCCTGTCCTCAGAAAATAATGAGCGAGTTGTTACAGAGAGAATTTGTTTAATCTCCTTCTAGAAAATCCTAAGAATAAAGTAGATAGCAACCACATCAGTATGGTCTAGAGGATAGTTCTCAAAGGTGTGGGGCTTCTGGGGATCCCCAAGATCCTTTCAGGGGGTCTACAAGGTCAAAGCTATTTTCATAATAATACTAAAAAGTTATTTGCATTTTTTTTACTCACATTCTCCCAAGTTGCAGTGGAGTTTTCCAAGGCTATGGTGTGTCATATCACAACCCATTGAATGCAGAAGCAGATAGAGAATCTAGCTGTGCTCCATTAAGCTAGACATTAAAGAGATTTACAAAAAATGGAAAGCAGTGCCACTCTTCTCACTAATTTTTTAAAATATGTTATTTATGCTAACATAGTATATTGTTCTTTTAAACTGGATTGATATTTTAAAAATTTCTCCATTTTAATTTCTAAGAATAAATATTGATAGATATAACCCACATAAAAACTATTCAGGGTCCTCAGTGATTTTTAAGAATGTAAAACCTGAGAGCACAAAGTATTGAGCACCACTGGTTTATAGAAAGCCTCACTCAGGCATGGGGTTAGACTTGACGTCGCCATGAGGCCCTTTTCTTATTTTCTGTGACGCTACCAGGTTAGTTCTTGGTATTGTGCATTCGTACTCTTCCCAGAACGAGATGTTTCCATGTTGAAGGACAGGCTCTGTCATTTGAGGCAGTCCGCATCCTTCTGCCTGCATGCTCCAGGGGCAGACAGCTTGAATGTCTTGTATCCATATGGTGCTCTAGTCAGAGCTCCCAGGGAGCTGCTTCATCTCTCAGCCATCTGGAGTGTAGCCAGGGGGATTTAGGATTTTCTCTTTCCCACCCCTCTGGGATTGATGTTCCTTGGCAGGGACTCAAGCCCCTTCTTACTCTACTCACTCAGAACCCTAGTTTCTCCATTCATCCCCCCAGATGCAGTCACACGTGATCATCTTTTATTGTTTTCTTCTCCCCGTAGAGAAAGATGATTATTGAAGATGAGACAGAGTTTTGTGGGGAAGAGCTGCTTCACAGTGTGTTGCAGTGTAAGGTAAGGCCTGTGCTTGAACTTGAAAGCTTCACCTTGAAAGCTGGCCTTGAAAACATTGTGTGAGGTGCTTTCCTGGGCTTTTCCAGTTCTCTTTTTGAGTGGGTTGTCGGGATGGCTGAAGTTGAGTTAATATTTTTATTGGAGATAAGATGTGTTGCTTGGTACTACTGAACCCTCTTCATTTCTCCAAAGTGTCCTTTTTCCTGGTGCCCTGCCTGATAATGTGCTGTTCCTGTGGTCAGTAGCCAGGAAAGGATTCACTTATAACCTCGGTGGGCTGCTTTAGTGTAATCTTGAGGGGCCCTCAGTAGAAGGAACATAGGTTTGGAATCATGCTTTGGCATCTGATAGATCCTAGTTCCACAACTTTTGTGCTCTGTGACCTTGGGCCAGTTGCTTTAGCTTCTCTGAATTTGTTTCCTCACCTGTAAAGTGGGGAGAAAATGCCTACCTCCCAGGGTTGTGAGAGTTAAATGAAATAGTGGGTGTGAAGTTCTTAGCACACTGGTGACTGTTAGCATCCCCTTGACACTTCTTGGCCTGATTATGGGTCAGGAAGTTCATTGCTTGGGGCAGAATGAGTGGAGGGAAACTCAGGAGGAATTGGGTGGGAGAAGAAGGAGGGCCTCAGTCCAGCCTCACAGAGGTTATTTTCTGTGAGGCAGAGGCTCAGTATCGTTAGGGTGACTGGGACTCAGGTGAAGTGAGGCTTTCTTTTTTCAGAGAGGAAAGGGAGAAGGCATTCCTACTGTGTGCCTGGGACTGTGGTAGGTGCTGTCAGAAAGCTCTGGTCTTGGCTTGTTTTCTGTCTCTGAATGAGCCCCAGTTGTGTGAGCCTTGGTATCAGAACTCTGCTCCCTTGGATGGCTGCTGCTGGTGTAGAGTGGAGAGACAGATTTGTTATGATAATTAGCAATGCCAAGAGACAGCTCTGTGCATAACAACAGGTGTCACTAATTAACTACTTACCATGTGCCAGGCACGTGCTTACATTTTACCTTTTACCATTTTGCAGATGAAGTAGTTGAGAGAGCGATCGAGTAACTTGTCTCGAGACACACAACTAGGAGCTATGAGTTGGGCTCCTCAGGCTTTTTTCTTTTTTAAATTTTATTGTGCTTTAAGTTTACAGCTGAAGTTAGCTTCTCATTTGAAAATTTATACACATATTGTTTTGTGACATTGGTTGCAGTCCCTACAATGTGACGGCACTCTCCACCCTTCTACCCTGGGTTTTCTATGTTCATTCATTCAGTTCCTGTCCCTTCCTGCCTTCTCATGTTGCCTTTGGGCAAGAGTTGCCCGTTTGGTCTCGTATATTGATTGAACTAAGAAGCACATTCCTCGTGTGTTATTGTTTGTTTTATAGGCCTCTCTAATCTTTGTCTGAAAAGTGCGACTTCGAGAGTGGTTTCAGTTCTCAGTTAGCAGAGTGTTGGGGCCATAGTCTCAGGGGTCCCTCCAGTCTGTGTCAGACCAGTAATTTGAATTTTGTTCTACATTTTTCTCCTGCTCTGTCCGGAACTCTCTGTCGTGATCCTTGTCAGAGCGGTTGGTAGTGGTAGCTGGGCACCTTCTAGTTCTTCTGGGTCCTCAGGCTCTTAAGACCCTCATCCCATTCCGGAGAAGCTGGGGTGGCACTCACCCGGGGTCTGATTCTCTCTTGACAGAGTGTGTTTGATGTCCTGGACGGGGAGGAGATGCGACGAGCCCGGACCCGGGCCAACCCCTACGAGATGATCCGAGGAGTCTTCTTCCTAAACAGGTTTGCTGAAATTTTCCTCCCCTCCCCTGACATGCCCTGCTCCTCCATTTCATTTGAGCCTCAGCTCTCCATATGTCTGGTACTGAGAGTCGCACTTTTCTGTCTTGCTCTGTTGCAGGGCAGCGATGAAGATGGCTAACATGGATTTTGTGTTTGATTACATGTTTACAAATCCTCGGGACTCCTGTGGGGTAAGAACGAGATTCTGCTTCTGAATTCATGGTGCTAAGTGGGCTTAAGCTTCAGTGGCTCAGAAATTGCCATTTGTTCAATGCTAGGAGAGTATTCCTGCTCTGTGATAGAGATATATTTTGCTTTGAACTCTATCATGTCCCACAGTACCTCCTGTGGCCCGAAGAGTGCCCCAGAAGGCAGTTATCTCCAGGGCTTCATGCCCAGAATTCCAGCCCCCAACTCTGCAGATCTCCAGCAGTGGAGAAAGGCCATGTCTGGGCAGAGTCAGCAACTATGGTATCTGTAGGGCGTGGACCCTCCTCCTGCATTCATGAGACATACATTTCTTCAGCCCTGACTTTGTGCCAGGCACAGTGCTGTAGGCACCAGACATAAATAATTTTGAGTGAGATCTCTGTCCCCATGGTGCTTACATTGTGGACATTCTGGTGGACTGAACAGCCGGGAAGGGTGCAAGGTTGGGATGTTTGTAAAGCCTGTCTGTGCTCTTTGAGAGAGCTTTAGCCTGCCTTCTTTCTGCCGTGGATGAGGTAGAGTATACGGGTGAGTTTGCAGTCCTGGCAGTCAGCTTATTTTCCAAATCGAAACTTGCAATGCCATCTCATTTGGGTTCTGTTTCTGGTGTGAGAGGGGAGTACTCTGGCAAATGTGGTTTGAATGTTGAATGAAAGTGAGCGTTTCAGGTCCTTTCAGTAGTCTATTTAAAATCAGTACCTTGCCTGGAAATCTAGAGTTTGTGGTTTGGTGGGAGGGGGAGATGGACCAGCACTTATGACTCAGGTGGCACCACTTAAGCGCATACACTTTTTGGGCCTCAGCTACCTCATCAGTGAAATAAGCCCTACTAAGCTGCCAGAGGGCTGGAGTAGGGCCAAAAGGCTCTTAAGATCTGTTCCAGTTCTAAGATCTGTGATTTCAGATGGAACCACGTTCCCTTTCTGCCTCTCTGAACAAGCTTCGTGTGGGATCATAATTATCAGGCCCTGGCCTTTCTCATGAAGTGGTAGCGCAAAATGATTTTCTACTCTGCTACATCTCATTTCTCTGAACACAGCCCCTCCATAATGATAGAGAAATAAAAAGGAAATTTCCTTCTAGAATTCCCTTCAGGGTTTCAAAGCATTTTAACCCCGTCCTGGAAAGTTAGTTCTCTTTGACAGTAAAGGGGCCAGGAGCCAGCTATTCCCAAACCTGTTTCTGCTTCACTCACCCTCATTCCGCTAGGCCCTGATTATCCACTGGCTGAAGAAACTTATTTTCCAAGCTCTCTAATGTCTTGGCTCCCACCCATCTCACTGCTTCCTCCATGCTAGCCAAACTGACATGCAGACCCTTCCAGCCTTGAGTCATTTCTCTCTTCTAGGCTCCCCTCCCCATTTTCCAATACCAGCAGGCAGCACAAAAGGGCTCTTGGAATTAGCATCTTAAGAAAATTAGGTTGATATAATGTTGATTTAATTTTCTGAGCTCCAAATGATTTCCTTTAAACCCCTGCCTGGCAGAGGAGCTCTGTCAAGCTGATGGGAAGTCACAGCATCATTTTGGGCTTTTGAGTGTAAACGCCTCCAGCACCTGCTATCTGGTTATTGTCTTTTGCTGTCATGAAAATGAAGTAGGCACCAGGGTTGTACCATTCAGTTTGAGGGTGGAAATGTTACATAGGAAAAGGCAGCCAGTGTTTGTAATGCTCCGGGCAGCTTCTTGACCTGAATTGATTGTTAGTGGCCATGGAGAATTGCCCTTTCAGAGATGTTTCTCTGCACTGCACTATAAAAAGTGATTTCTCTTGAGCCCCTAGTGTTTTTTTCTCTTTTCATCTCTGTTTTCCTCTGAGGACGAGAGTGACAGCCACGCCCAGGAGGCTTGGTGTGTGTTTCAGTCGAGCAGAGAGACACTCCAGAATAGTCCCTAGTGGAGATGGGAGTGGCTGAAGGCCCAGGCACACACCCAGGTTTGCTGGGGTCTTAGTAGCTCCTGAGTCAGGCAAATTATAAAATAAGAGCATGGAGAACTTGAAGCTTAGAGGAGTGTGGAGAGGCTGGGAGGTAGGAAGGGGAACTCTGAGGTTTTTAAATGGGTTTCTGGGGCTGCAGGTTGTGGTGAAGGGAGAAAGGGACTAGAGTAGGAAAAGAAAGAAACCATAAATAAGAATTGGAAGAGAGAAGCGAAGGAAGGGAATTTAAGTTCTTTGGATATATAGACGCATGTTATAAACCATAATGCTACATGAAGGATTTGTGTGCCTAGTGATATTGTTGAGGTAAGAAAACAGTCTCTACAGCATAGTAGGAGACAGAAGCTGAATGTAGATCTTAAGTTTCAGTCATAGCTTGGAAAGTAGACAGCATTTACAAACCTTCCACTGAATGTGGAGAAAGATGGAAAAGGGTAAGAGTTTTGACTTCAAGGAATTGATCTAGTTGAGTATAATGTTACCTTACAGTTGTTTAGTACTTTAGAATTTATAAAGGCCTCTGACGTATGATACTTTATTTAATCCTTTAAGCCTTGAGAAATACAGTAGCTACACTAGTCCCAATTTACAGTTAAGGAACCTCCAGCTTAAAGACTTAAATTCTGTGATTGCTCTTGACTGAGCAGCCAGCAAGTGGCAAAGCTGAGAACCCCAGCTGTTCTTTCTTTGAAGGACTTGTCCATGGCCTGTGAGGGCCACACGTGTTGAAATCACAGAATGAGATCATATTTATGCCCTCTTTTTGGAGGTGAGGTGCTTTCATTGATTTGTTTCCCTTCCTTTGGTCTTCAGTCTCTCAGTCTTCTGTTGGTCCAGTGACACACCAGAGAGGCTGGAGCCTGGGGCCAGGGCAGCAGCCAGTGGTGAGGAACATTGTTCTTTCTGTCAAGTGTGTGCAGGGCTTACTTAAGCTTGTGACCTCTGCCTCATTACCACTGTGCTATTGGGAAGGTGTTAATAATGTTCTTGGAAAATGCCATTCAGTCTTTTTGTGTGTGCAGGTGAACATAATAATAAAAAAAATTGAATAATTGATGCCTCAGGAACAAAAAATGCAATGAATTGGGGAGAAGGGGAAAGAACTGATACATCTCAGCATACCTTGGGCCCAGCGTGGACTTGGCATAGGAAGATGTTTATTTTTAGCTAAAGTTACTTTCTCCAGAGACTTTTTAAGTGTTTTGATAAAGGTATCATCAGAAGCCCATTGTCACCTAGAAGGTGACTGGATCATGAACATAAGTATTCCTGTTCTTTTTTACAGCGTTCTGGTCTTTATCTGGCAGTTACAAAACTCTGGACAAGCATTCAGCCATGCCAAACCTGTAGAGAGGGGAGGCCGAGGTTCCTAAGCCCCTTCCTGCTACATGTTCATCAGGGTCCCAGGCCAACCATAATCCTCTGGAGTCACTCCTCAGGGCTCACCCTCTTATTGTCCCCAGTGCTGATGGCACGTCCTCTCTGCTGTGGAGGGCTGGGGCACGTAGAATTCACTGTCTAGGGCTTAGGTGTGAGTAAGAGCATCCGTAGCCATTTGTGTAGAAAAGAAGTGTAAATACAGTATGGGCCAGTGCTGAGTTCAGCATAAATTTTAGGTTAAGGCGAAGCTACTCAAGTGACTAAAAATATGATCAAATAAAAATTCCAATGACTATTGTAATTTGTCATTCCTGCAGTGGGTGGGGGCTCTGAGGGTTGCCTGGAAACTGCTACTGCTGTAGACCAGTGTCTCCTTCCCTCTCTGCCTCGTCAGTCCCCAGCTGTACAGTACCCCTGGCTAGCACAGGACAAAGGCAGGAAAACAAGGAAAGGAGTGCAGAAAAGAAGAGAGACTAAATGCCGTGTGGTGTCTTGGATTGAATCCTTGAACAGGAAAAAGGCATTAGTGGAAAAACTAGTGAAATCCGAATAAAGTGTTGAGTTTAGTTAACGTACCCATGTTGGTCTCTTAGTTTTGACAAATGTACCATGGTTATATAAGGTGTTGACTTTTAGGGGAAACGGGGCGAAGGAGATACAGATACTCTCTGTGCTGTCTCTGCAACTCTTCTGTAAACCTGATTATTCTACGATAAAAAGTTTACTGGAGGAAAAAAAGAAGAGGGGAAGGAAAGGCAGAGGGTACGGCCTGGAAAGGCAGGCCCTTGTGGTCAGGAAGGGGTGATGTTAGAGCCCCTCAAGACTTGGGTTGGATAGGCAGATCTGAGACTAGAGGTCAGGCAGAATGGATTCTAGTTTTAGGTTTGTTGCACACTGACTGTGAACAAGGCCCCTTTGTTCCTCTTTTTTCCTATCTGTTATGTGGGGAAACAGCATCCATTCTACTCAGTAGGAGTCTTGTAACGCAGGATATGGTGAAGAAAAAACTCTGAAAAATAAAAAAATGCACACAGATATGATCACAGAGGATACAGTTCCTGGGAGTTGTGGCCCTGGTGGGAGCTCAGTGTTATACTTACTCCCTCTGCATTCTTCTTCCTGTTTTCCATTGAGCCATCTTTTTTCCTTCCTCCTCTGTTCTTCACTTGCCTCTGCAGAAGCCACTGGTGAAGGACCGGGAAGCTGAGCTCCTGTACTTTGCTGACGTCTGTGCAGGCCCAGGCGGCTTCTCAGAGTATGTGCTGTGGAGGAAGAAGTGGCACGCCAAGGGCTTTGGAATGACTCTGAAAGGCCCGAACGACTTCAAGCTGGAGGACTTCTACTCGGCCTCCAGTGAGCTCTTCGAACCATACTATGGTAGGGACGCTGAGGAGGGCCCCAGGGGTAGGAGGGACTGCCCCTCCATGGGGGCTTCAGGGCAGAAGCAGTTATTATCCACATGCCATGTTTTCTTTCCTCGGTGTCTTAGCTTGGGGGTTGCCATCCCTGTTATGAGGGTCTTCGTTCCTTCGAGACTGTCCCTTTTTACCCCAGGCCTGCAGGATGCAGGTTAAACACTCCACTTGGCAAAATCTCATCAAAGCCATATTAATTCTTCCTTTCAGGAGCACTCTTCTCTTGTGGTAATGGGAGATAATGAAACTGCTGAGAACTGGCAGGGTTATTAACAAATGCAAACCCCATGCCCATCTTGAGCCCTGTGTGTAATAGACAGCTCAGCAGCCCCACAGCAGTCCTCTCACTCTATCTAGATTATTATGTTTTGGCAGCAAATCCTAAGTCCTTTCTGAACAGTCTTTGTTTAGGAGGAGGAGATAGAGCATGTTAAAAAAGTGGATATTGGTTCCTAGATGTAGGTGCTTTAAACATACTTGTGGTCTTGAAGAGGACAGCCCTTGGCTGGTCAGCCCCTTTTGGACTCTGGTTTGTAGCAGCAGGGCCCTTTTTATTTTATTTTATTGTTGTACTTTAAGTGAGAGTTTACAATTCAAGTTAGTCTCTCATACAGAAGTTTATACATACATGTGACATACATGTGACCCTAATTGCTCTCCTTATACTGTGACAGCACATTCCTCCTTGCTACCTCTGATTTCTCATGTCTCTTCAACCAGCTCCTGACCCTCTCTGCCTTCTCAGGTCATCTCCAGACAGGAGCTGAGCAGGGCCCTTTTCTGGCCTCTTGGTCTTTACTGCAAGTCAGCCCTGTGGGATGGGCACTGCGCTGAGGAGCTCCTCGCCAGGGGCCTTTCTGCTGGGGCTCGATGCCCACCTGGTACCCATGTACACTGTCCCAGAGAGCTCACGTCCCAGCTCCTGGGATGGACAGGGCGGATGTACTCACCCTGAATCTTGTGTCCTGCCAGGCGAGGGTGGGATTGATGGAGATGGAGACATCACCCGCCCAGAGAATATCACTGCTTTTCGGAATTTTGTCCTGGATAACACAGATCGCAAGGGGGTCCACTTTCTGATGGCTGATGGGGTAAGTGACCTTTTCTTTATAGGGTGATACTTCAGGGATTTAATATTTTAGAGGTTTGAGAACTATTTTTGCTTTGTTCTCTTTGGTCCTCTAGCTGCCCCTGAAGGTAGTAGCTCACTGTTCAGATAGCAGGGATGCATGATTTTACTCTTTTTGTACAGATTTTCAATGGTAATTTTGTAAAAGCTGTGATGTGTAGATACCTTTGCTTGAAGCAAGGTGGAACTTCCCAGCTTACTCTTTCAAAGGGCTTCTGGTTGGCTGTGAGACGTGAGAGGAAGACCATGACTAAAATGAGCTAGCAGAAGTGAATAGGAAAAACACTTCCATCATTTGTCACCTTGGTGCTGTTGACAGCCTGCTTCTGGCAAAGGCTGTCTATGTGTGGCCACTCGTAAACTCTGGTTAGGTTGACAGATGACCACATCACCAAAGACAGCCGCTCAGGGGAATCTCTGGGAGGTTCTGTAAGTGGCTAGGCTAATGTGAATATTCAAGGTGCCTTGTTCCAGAGCTGCTGCCTGAGGCACAGAGGGGAGCCCACTGCAGCTTTGCTCAGCAAAAGTTCTCACCCAGTAATCTGACCCTGCAGATAGTCCTTTCTGGAATGAGCCTCCACTTAGTGTAGATAAGGCACAGAGAATATGGCAGTTGTTCCCAGGGTCATGTGGTTAGAGTTGAGAAAAGCCTCTGGAGAGACCCTCTGTGAGTGGCTTCTCAAGCAGGAACTGTGTGGAAAGGTGAAGGAAGGAGGGCAGGACATCACCACAGGCTCTGAAGGCATTCTGGCTCACCAAAGCATTGTGCACAGCCAGGGAGCAACAGATAGGCTGTGAGTGAGGGGCTGCTCCAGCTGGGCAGAGTGGGTGTTTGTGGGGCAGCTTAGGCAACAATTTTTTACTTGGTTTCCATAAATAGGCATGCATTTTGAGCAGCATCTATAAGTCTGGAAGACATTGCTAAACATTTTTGATTCTGAGTCCCTTAACTGTTGCCTTGGCAGAACTGAGTCGGGGAGACCTGGCTAGGGCCAGATTAGCAGAGGCCAGCCTCCTTTACTGTTTTTAAAAAATATTTTGTGTTTTCGGTAAGAGTTTACACAGCAGATTAGGTTCCCATTTAACAATTTCTGCATAGATTATTCAGTGACATTGGTTACATTTTTTACAATGTGTCAACATGCTTATTAATACCGTTCTAGTTGTTCTGTTTCCAGTAATCTAGTTTCCCTACCCCTTACTTTATCATCTTTGCTTTAGGGTAATTGTTGACCATATAGTCTCATATAGATGATTTTTTAAAGGAGCACAGTACTCATGGCTTATATTCTTTATTTAATGAGCCAATCTGTTATTTACCTAAAAGGTGACCTCGGGATAGTTTTGGTTCAGGGTTTAGAGTATCTCAGGGCAGTAGTCTTGGGGAGTCCTCTAGTCTCAACCAGTCCAGTAAATCTGGACTTTCAAAGAATTAGAGTTCTGTTCCACATTTTTCCCTCATTCTATCAGTATCCATCTGTTGTGGCCCTGGTCAGAACCGTTGGTAGTGGTAGTCAGGCACCATCTAGTTCTGGTCTCAGTGAACCACAGATGAGGCTGTGGTTCACGTAGACTATTAGTCCTGTAGACTAGTTTCTTCTCTGAGTCTTTGGTTTCCTTCTTCACTCCAGACAAGTAGAGACCAATAGTTATATCTTAGATGGCTGCTCATAAGCTTTTAAGACTCCAGACACTACGCACCAAACTAGGATGTAGAACATAAACTTTATGCCAGTTGACTGAGTTGTCCCATGAGGCTATGGTCCTAAGCTTTCAAACTCAGAAAACCAAACTCACAAGGTATTTGGTAATGTTTAAGAAGTATCTGTAACTGTGCCTTTATGTGCTTTATTATATATATGAATATATATGCATGTACACACATACCTGTATATGCATACAAATACATCTATATGTGTATGCATACATACACACACATATATACCCATACACATATATACATACATATGTAACTACACATTTTTGTTGTTGTTGTTGTTGCAAAATTATATATGTCTTATCCTTTACCAAAAGTGCCCTTTTCTCTTGTGTATTTCTTAGTGGGATCATTTACCTTGGTCAAGCTATGCACACTTTACCCACATTCAGTGTTACTTTTCCCATCACCAAAAATAACAAGTGTCAAGTGTCTGTAATCTACAGAGTGGTCCCCCCACCCCATCCCTGGTAACCAACAACAAACGTTGATCTCTGTATAGATAGCTATTCTAGTCTCTTATAAAAGTGCAATGATAATACTTGTCTTTTTGTGATTGACTTATTTCACTCAGCATAATATTCTCCAGATTCATCCGTGTTATGTTTTGAGAACTTGTCATTCTTCTTTTTTTTTTTTTTTATTGTGGTTTAAGTGAAAGTTTACAGTTCAAGTCAGTTTCTCATAAAAAAATTTACACACATTGCTGCGTGACCCTAGTTGCTCTCCCTGTACTGTGACAAGCACACTCCTCCTTTCCACCCCAGATTTCCCGTGTCCATTCAGCCAGTGTCTGACCCTCTCTGCCTTCTCATCTCACCTCCAGACAGAAGCTGCCCATTTAGTCTAATGTATCTACTTGAGCTAAGAGGCACATTCCTCACGAGTATCACTTTATGTCCCATAGTCCAGTCTAATCTTTGTCTGAAGAATTGGCCCCAGGAATGGTTTCAGCTCTGGGCCAACAGAGAGTCCGGAGGCCATGTCTTCCAGGCTCCCTCTAGTCTCAGTGAAACCATTAAGTCTGGTCTTTTTACTAGAATCTGAGTTCTGCACCCCACTTTTCTCCTGCTCTGTAAGGGACTCTCTGTTGTGTTCCCTGTCAAGGCGATCATTGGTGGTAGCTGGGCACCATCAATAACTCATGATTATTCTTTATGGCTGTGTATTATTCTATTGTATGTGTACCTCATTGTAGGTTTAATTTGCAGCTCTCTAATGGCTAATGATTGTGAGCATTTTTTCATGTGTCTGTTGGCCACTTGAATGTCCTCTTTGGTGAGGTGTCTGTTCATGTCTTTTGCCCAATTTTTAATTGGCTTGTTTGGCTTTTTGTTGTTGAGGTGTTGAAGTTTTCTATATATTTTAGACATTAGACCCTTGTTGGATATGTGGTTCCCGAAGATTTTTTCCCAATCTGTAGGTTATCTTTTTACTCTTTTGATAGTTTTTTGATAGTATTTAAAGCATAAATATTTAATTTTTTATGAAGTCCCAGTTATTTGTCTTCTGCTGTTTGTGCATTTGTAGTTGTGTTTGATAATCTGTTTTTGAAAAAAATTAGGCCCCATAGTTTTGTTCCTGTGTTATCTTCCAGGAACTCTGTAGTTTTAGGTTTAATATTTAGGTCTTTTATACATTTTGAGTTAGTTTTTGTGTAGGGTGTGAGATATGGATCCTGTTTCATATTTCTGCAAATGGATATCCAGTTTTTGCCAGCACCATTTGTTAAAGAGGCTTATTTTTTCCTCATTGAATGGACTTTGATCCCTTGTCAAAAATCAGTTGTCCGTAGATGGATAGGTTTATTTCTGAGATCGCAATTCTATTCCACTGGTCTATGTGTCTGTCATTGAACCAGTACCAGGCTATTTTTATTACTGTGGCTGTATAGTATATTTGGAGGTCGAGGAGTGTGAGGCCTCTTACTTTGTTCTTCTTCGATATTGCTTTGGCTATTTGGGGCCTCTTTCCTTTCCATATAAAGTTGGTAATTAGTTTTTCCATTTCAGTAAAGAATGTTGTTGGAATATGGATCAGGAATGCATTGTATCTATAGCTTACTTTGGGTAGTGACATTTTCACATGTTAAGCCTACCATTCCATGACCACTCAATGTTCTTCCATTTACGTTGGTCTCTTTTTGGTCTCTTGTAGTAGTAGTTTATAATTTTCATTATATAGGTCTTTTACATCCCTGGTTAGAGTTATTTCTAGATATATTATCATTTTGGGGGCTATTGTAAATGGTGTTGTTTTCTTGATTTCCTTTTCGGAGTTCTCTTTGTTAGTGTAGAGGAACTCCACTGATTTTTATTTATTTATTTATTTATTTTTTATTGTACTTCAGGTGAAGGCTTACAGAACAGATAGTTTCTCATGAAACAGTAGTACACATATTGTTTTATGACATTGGTTAACAACCCCACAATATGTCAACCCTCTAACTTCTCAACCTTTTTTTTTTTTTGGTGAAAATACACATAGCCAAAGATACACCATTTCAAAAATTTCTACATGCACAGTTCACTGACACTGACTACACTCTTCCAATTGTGCTGTTATTCTCACTTAAGATGAAGGCTTACAGAACAAAATAGTTTCTCATTTAACAGTTCCTCAGATGTTGCCCTATGACAATGGTTAACAATCTCACAACACATCAACAATATCCTTACTCAACCTTGGGTTCCCTATCACCAGCTTCCTTGTCCTCTTCTGCCTTCTGGCCCTTGTCACTGGACTACTGTACCTCATTAGTCCCATTTGGTTTTACGGGGCTGTCCACTCCCAGGCTGAACGGTGAACCTCGGAGATAACTTCACAACTGAGCTAAAAGGGTGTCTGCGGGCCATACTCTCGGAGTTTCTCCAGTCTCCTTTAGGCCAGTAAATCTGGTCTTTTTCTTGTGAGTTAGAATTATGTTCTACATCCTTCTCCAGCTCTGTCCAGAACCCTCTTTTGTGATCCTAGTCAGAGCAGTCAGTGGTGGTAGCCGGACACCATCTAGCTGTACTGGACTCAGTCCGGTGGAGGCCTTGGTAGCTGTGGTCCATTAGTCCTTCAGACTAATCTTTTCCTTGTATCTTGTTCTCTTCATTCTCCCTTGCTTCTGAAGAGATGAGACCAGAGAACTCCACTGATTTTTGTGTGTTGATCTTGTACCCTGTAACTTTGTTGAATTCTTCTATTAGATGCAGTAGCTTTCTTGTGGAATCTCTGGAATTTTCTAAGTATAGAATCATGTTATCTGTGAATAGAAATAGTTTTACTTCTTCTTTTCCGATTTGGATACCTTTTATTTCCCTTTCTTGCCTTACTGTTCTGGCTAGGACTTCCAGTACAGTATTGAATAAGAACAGTGATAATGGGCATCGTTGTCTCATTCCCATTCTCAAGGGGAAGGCTCTCAGTCTCTCTCCATTGAGAATAATGTTGGCTGTTGGTTTTGCATATATGCCCTTAATTATGTTGAGGAATTTCCCTTCTGTTTTTATTTTGCGAGAGTTTTTATCAGGAAAGGGCACTGGATTTTATGAGATGCCTTTTCTGCATCAGTTGAGATGACTGTATGATTCTTTTCCTTTGTTTTGTTTCTGTGTTGAATAACATTGATTTATTTTCTAGTATTGAACCACACTTGCATTCCTGGTATGAATCTCACTTGATAGTGATTGTGATTTTCTTAGTATGTTGTTGAATTCTGTTTGCTAGAAGTTTGTTGAGATTTTTTTTTTTTTCCAGATAATATTTGTATTTTAGGTGAATATTTACAGAACAAATTAGGTTCCCATTTAACAATTTTTATACAAATTGTTCCATGACATTGGTTACATTTTTCACAATGTGTCAGCATTCTTGTTATTTCCATTCTTTTTGTTCTGTTTCCATTAATATAGCTTCTCTGCCCCTCCTACCTTCTCATCTTTGCTTTAGGGTAAATGTTGACTATTTGATCTCATATAGTTAATTATTTAAGGGAGCAGAGTACTCATAGTTGATATTGTTTGTTTTATAAACCAATCTATTATTTAGATAGTAGAAGAGGGAACCAACTTAACAGCACCTAACAACAGTCTATTATTTGGATGAAAGGTGACCTCTGGGAGTGGCTTCAGTTCCAAGTTCAAAAGGTATCTTAGGGTGATAATCTCAGGGCTTCCTCTAGTCTTTATCAGTCCAGTTAGTCTAGCCATTTTTAGGAATTTGAGTTTTGTTCTACATTTTTCTCCCATTCTATCCAGGACTTTCTGTTGTGTCCCTCATCAGAATGGTCGGTAGTGGTAGCTGGGCACCATCTAGTTCTTGTGGTCGCAGGCTCAATGAGGCCGTGGTTAGTGTAGGGTATTAGTCCTGTGTACTAGTTTCTTCTCTGAGTCTTTGGTTTCCTTCATTCTCTTTTGTTCCAGATGAGTAGAGACCAATAGTTGTATCTTAGATGGCCACTTGCAAGCTTTTAAGACCCCAGATGCTACTGACCGGACTAGGATGTAGAACATTGTTTTTATGAACTATATTGTGCCAGTTGACCAAGTTGTCCCACAAGACTGCGATTCTTAAGCCTTTTAACCCAGTAAACCAATCCCATGAGGTGTTTGGATATGTCTGGAAAGTCTCTCTAACTGCCCCCTACTTTATTGTTGAGAATTTTTGTGTCTATATTCATGAGGGATATTGGTGTATAAGTTTCTTTTTTTGTGATGTCTTTGCCTGGTTTTGGTATCAGGGTGATGCTGGCTTCATAGAATGAGTTTGGGAATGTTTCCTTTACTTTTATGTAACAAAGATCCCTTTCTGCTGAGATCTCTCAAAGAGGGTGGCTACCCCAGGAATAGCAGTACACTTTCTTTGCCCAGACACCCTGGCCAGAGAGCCTGCCAGCTGGAGGGAGGGGCTCCATAGTCTTGGGACGGTCAAGGGGGTATTGTGAGTAAACCTTGGTCAACCGAGAGTGATTACTGTGTCTGTCAAGAGTAGTGCTAACTTTTCTCCTGCCCCAGACTGGGACGCGTTCAGTGGGCAGTGCAGCAGTTGAGTGAGTCAAGTGGAGGACTCATGCCACACTTATTCTGTGGGTCTTGTTGGGACTCACCAGGCATTCTGGTTCCTATCTTGTAGTTGGCTGTGGCTAAGTCAATATTTTGTTTCTGTTCTCCCTTACTCTTCCTTTGGATTCTCACATGAGTTTAAACTTCTTCTGGACCATCTCCTTGGAAAATGAGGCTTTATTCCATCCTTTTGGAGTGATAAGTAGGAAAACGGCACTAACACAGTAGGCAGACCTGGGTGCTCCTGCTGGCTTCATCCGTAATGAGCCACGTGACCCTGCCAAGATAATTTAAGCACTGAGTTATGTCTTTATCAGTCAGATGGTGGTGATTAGTGAACACACTTGAAGAAATCTTGATGAAGATGAGACAGGGATGTTACTTTTGGTCCTCATTATTTTCTCTTTCCCACCCCTATCTTTGTGCTTTCCTTTCAGGGTTTCTCAGTGGAAGGTCAGGAGAATCTGCAGGAGATCCTCAGCAAGCAGCTGCTGCTGTGTCAGTTCCTCATGGCACTGTCCGTTGTCCGGACAGGTGACATTCCTCAGCTGTCTCCTCACCCCAGGACCCACTAGAGGCCAATCTGGACAAGAGCATGTACATGGGTTGGGCTAAGTGAGAAATTTAGGGAAGAAAAGTGTGTAGACTCCCCAAAGTACCCTCTAAAGCTGATTCTAACCTCTTAAATTGCCACTGACTTTTAGTGGACCCAGGTGCTCTGACTTTGCCACTCTTATCCCCTGAAACCTCCTTACTCACTCCTGGAATAGAACTGATGACTGCTGTTGATTTTTTTCCTCTCTAATCCAGGAGGCCACTTCATCTGTAAAACCTTTGACCTGTTCACACCATTCAGCGTGGGGCTTATCTACTTGCTGTACTGCTGCTTTGAACGAGTATGTCTCTTTAAGCCGATTACCAGCCGTCCAGCCAACTCAGAGAGGTGAGGCCTTCCTCTCTTGTAGCCAAACTAGTTGGCTAAATGTCAGAACAGTGAATCCTGGGGCATCTCCCTGGCATGACTTCTCAAGCTACATTAAAAACCTTGACTTCAGGAAAGTGATTATAGACACTGAGAGTCAGGATTTTGGATCTTATTGGTCCCATGATGTGCCAGTTCATCCTCTGTCTCCTTCTCCATGAGCCTTATTCACACATTTATGTAGGAATCCTCAGTTTGCCCCAGGATGGAGAAGGGTGACCAATACTAAGGATGCCTGGAGGGACGTGTGCTGGGAATGGGCAAGGAGGTCACCAATCAGAGGCACTGCTGACACCCCAGCTGGGATGCAGTATGCTCACACAGTGTGAGAGAGGATGCAGCCAGTCAGAATTTCCTGATGACCTGGTTAAAAGCACAGATTTCTGGGCCCCCTCACTGGAAGGTCTGATTTACTAAGTCTGTAATTTAATAGACTCCCCAGGTGATGGTGATGCAGCCAGCCTGGCCCAGGGCAGTTGGGAGACATTGCCATAGACAGTAGAAAGAGCCTAACATAAAAAGGTGGGATTAGAGGTGCACTTCTGCAGCACAGAGAGTCTGTGCTATTCTTTTTGCATAAACTTAAGGCTGAACAGGGAACCTTTTTAGCTTTATGACTCGGTAAGGGATTAGTGGGGAAAGGAATGTGTGTGGAGGAAGTTCTTACTCAGTAGAGAGATGGGGTATCTCTTGGCAGGTATGTGGTGTGCAAGGGCCTAAAAGTGGGCATAGATGACGTGCGGGATTACCTCTTCTCAGTGAATATTAAACTCAACCAGCTGCGGAACACAGATTCTGACGTCAACCTTGTGGTCCCCTTGGAGGTGATCAAGGGAGACCATGAATTTACTGACTACATGATACGGTCCAACGAGAGGTAAGCAAACGGGGTGCTTTTTGCTGGCACTGCTGGGTTATCATGGAAGACCAGAGAATGAAGATCTGAGTGACTGGCTCTTGATATCACTTTGTCAGTTCTGACAGATTGGTAACTGGGATTGCTCTGCTGGTTCCAGGGCTCCCGGGGGCTTTGGTTGCCTCAGGGACCCTCGTCCTGCTCCCATGCCCCATCCTGAGGGCAGCAGGTGAGTCCCTGGGTGGCATGGCCCTGTCCGCAGGAGCCTGAGTGTGGTAAAAAAAAACCTGCGAGGGAGCAGCTTCGCCCTGTGTCTCTGGAGGCAGGAATAATTTCCCTTTAATTGCTCCTGTTTGTAAAAGCCCATCTTAGTTGTTGCCTTATGAAATCCCTTGTCTGGAGGCAGGAGATGAGTGGAAAGGAAGTATACAACACGCTTAGGAAGTTCCTTGTACCAAAACTTTTTTTTTTAAACTGTGCTTTAAGTGAAAGTTTACAGCTCAAGTTAGTTTCTCATGCAAAAATTTATACACACATTGTTATGTGACCCTAGTTGCTCTCTCTGTAATGTGACAGCACACTCCTCCTTTCCACCCCAAATTTCCTGTGTCCATTCAACCAGCTCCTGTCCCTTTCTGCCTTCTCATCTCACCTCCAGACAGAAGCTGCCCATTTAGTCTCATGTGTCTACTTGAACTGAGATGCACACTCTTCACAAGTATCATTTTGTCTTATAGTCCAGTCTAATCTTTGTCTGAAGAGTTGGCTTCAGGAATGGATTTAGCTCTGGGTTAACAGAGAGTCCGGGGGCCATGTCTTCTGGGGTTTGTCTAGTCTCAGTCAGACCATCAAGTCTGGTCTTTTTGCTCGAATTTGAGTTCTGCACCCCACTTTTCTCCTGCTCCGTCAGGGATTCTCTGTTGTGTTCCCTGTCAGGGCGGTCATTGGTGGTAGCCGGGCACCATCTACTTCTTCTGGTCTCAGGCTGATGCAGTCCCTCGTTTATGAGGCCCTTTCTGTCTCTTGGGCTAATATTTTCCTTGTGTCTTTGGTGTTTTTCATTCTCCTTTGCTCCAGGTGGGTTGGGACCAGTTGATGCATCTTAGATGGCTGCTCACTAGCTTTTAAGACTTTGTTATGCCGATTGACCTATCTGGTACCAAAGCTTTTGCCAGTTCATGAGTTCCCCCGGTGGGAGATCTGAATGCTGTTTTTTTTTTTTTTTTTAACATTAATTGACCCACTCCCCTTTTTAGTGGTAATAGTGTAAAGCTGTAGCAGTTGGCGCATTGTTCTCTAAGTGGGCAGGCCTTAGGGAAAGGTTTTTTTTTTTTTTTCATTCTACTTCAGGTAGGGAAAGGTTTTTGAGATAGATTGGAGGATTGTAGTGTAGTAATGAATCAATAGGAAGTGCTTTCTTAGGAGGCCAAGCAGTTGTTGCAAAGGCCATATCAATGGGTCCATTTCCAAGTCTCCCATAGAAGATTGAAGGTATGGGTGACCCTGGAGAATCATAGAAGCGGAGGAAGTCTTTATTTGCGGGGTTGACTTTATCCTGCTCTTTCCCACTTATCCAGCATCGCATGGTATTTTAACTTTCCACAGTACTGCCTCATAAGCTGTCCACTTGATAGTAATGCTCAGCACCAAGGTTGAGTAGATGTTAGACCAGTACGTTATAGATGAGGAAACAGAGGCCCAGGGACCAGCCCAGAATCAGAAAAGCCAGGATTTGGTTCTGGGCTACGTAACAATTGTTGCTGAACCATGCTGCCATCTGCTATGGGTATGCATGGATAAATGGCAAAACTGAACTTCGTAATGCTTGCAGCAGCACAGTGTTTAAGCATGCTGTAACTAATCATTTTTCTTTCTTTCTTTCTTTTTTTTAATTGAGGTATAATTCCATAAGTGAAATGCAGATCTTAAGTGTACATTTCAGTCAGTTTTGACAAATATATATACATATAGCCATATAGCCCACACCCCATCAAGATTTTTTTTTAAAAAAAGCATTTCTATTACCTCAGGAAAATTTCTTTGTGCTCCTACCCAGTTAACCCCCTCACTTTCCCCAAAGTCACCACTCTTCTGATTTTTATCACCACAGGTTAGTTTTGCCATTCTAGAACTTTAGATAAGAATCATACAGTATGCATGTTTGTGCTTTTTTCCCTCAGCATAGTGTTTTTGAGATTCATGCATGTTGCATTAGTTTGTTCCTTTTAATGCTGAGTAGTATTCCATTGTGTGGATAGTATACCACAATTTAGCTGTCCTGACACTTGTGCTGTTTCCAGTTTGGGGCTGTTAGGAATAAAGCTGCTGCATTGTTATGGAAGGTTTTTGGTGTACAGATACTATTTCTGTTGGATAAATACCCTAAGGTAGATGTACGTTTAACTTTTTAATGATGCCATATAATTTTTTAAAGTAGTTGTACCCTTTTATATTCCCTCCAGCAAAGTTTGAGTTCTGATTGCACTACATCCTTGCCAACATTTGGTGTTGTCAGTCTCTGTCACAGTTATATTGGTCTCATTAAATGACACGGGGAGTGTTTCCTCCTCTTTTGTGTTCAGAAATAATTTGTGTAAGAATGGTAGTTTTTCTCCCTTAAGTCTTTGATAGAATTTGATAGTAAAGCCATTTGAGCCTGGATTTTGCTTTCTGGGAAGTTTTTAAATTCAGTTTCTTAACAGGTGTAGAAATCTTCAGATTTTCTGTTTCTTGTAGTGTTTTCAATGAATTTGTGCCTTTCAGTTAATAATGTGCATTCATCTAAGGTGTTGAATTTATTGGCATAAAGTTCATAATATCCCCTTATTATCCTTCAGTGTCTGTAGGATTTAGTAATACTCCTTCCATGTTTCTTTGCGTGGGTAATTTATGTTTTCTCTCTTTTATTCTTGATTAGTTTTGTTAGAGGTTTGTCAATTTTATTAATCTTGTAAAGAACCAACTAGTGACCTGGCACTCTCATTTTTATTATTTCTGTTGTTCTGTTTACTTTGGGCTTAATTTATTCTTCTTTTTCTAGCTTCATTGATTTTACACTTTTCTTCTAATAGATACAGATTTAACGCTATAAATTCCTCTTTAAGGACTGCTTTAGCTGAATCTCAAAAATTTTGATATGTTGTCTTTTCATTATCATATGGTTCAAAATATTTTTTAATTTCCTTTGTGATTTGTCCTTTGATTCATGGATTATTTAGATGTGTGGTATTTAATATCCAGATATTTTGGGATTTTCAAGATATCTTATTAGAATCTATTCTCATTATAGTCAGAGAACGTACTCAGTATGATTTTAATCCTTTGAAATTTATTGAGGCTTGTTTTATGGCTTATATGATCTGTCTTGATGGATAGTCCAACTACTGTTGTTGCTTATAGTTTCTGTACATGTTAATTTGGTCAAGTTGATTCATAGTGTTTTTCACATCTTCTGTATCTTAACTCATGTTTTGACTGCTTATTCTGTCAATTGCCAAGAGAAGGGTATTAAAGTCTTCAACTGTGATTACTCATTTGTCTGTTTTTCCCTTTCATTTTTTCAGTTTTTACTTCTTATATTTAGTATCTTTGTTATTAAGCACATGCACTTTTAAGACTGTTTTGTCTTCTTGATGAATTGACCTTTTATCATTATGAAATATCCTTTATATCTCTAGTAATACTGTTTGTCTTGATGTCTACTTTCCCTGATGGTAATATAGCCACATCAGCTTTCTTATGCTGTTTGCATGGCATGTCTTTTTCTGTCCTTTTATTTTCAACTTGTCTTTGTCTTCATGATTAAAATACGTTTATTGTAAACAACATATTGTTAAGTCTTACCTTTTTATCCAGTTTGACAGTCTCTGCCTTTTAATGGGGGTGTTAGTACACTGATGTTGAATGTAATTATTGCTACATTTGGGTTTAAATCCTGTATCTTGGGGTTTGATTTCTGTTTATCCTGTCTACTTTTTGTTCCTTCCTTTCCTCCTTCTTTTGGGGTGAATTTGGTATTTTTTAGTATTCTTTTTATCTTTTTTTTTTTTAATGACTTTTTGTGTTATTTTTTAGTTGTTGCTGTAGAAATTACAACGTGCACCTTTAATTTATCATATTCTTCCCTCAAAGAAAATTCCAGTACTTCATAAACGGTGTAAGAACCCTTACAACAATATATTTGAATTTTCATCCTCCTACCTTTATGCTTGTTTTCATATAACCCACTTTATATCGTTACTATTTTTATGTTAAAGAGTTGATAATCTTTTAAAGAAATTTTAAAGACACATACGCCTACATGTATACATATAATTATTTTAAAAAGTTTCTTGATGTTTACTGACATTTACCGTTTCTGGTTTTCTTCATTCTTTACTGCAGAAGCAAGTTTCTATCTGGAATATTTTCCCTTTGGCCTAAAAAATTTGTTTTAGCATTCTTTTTGTAGTGAATGTCTGCTAGGGACTAATTCTTTCAGCTTTTATCTCTTTGAAAATGATATATTTCACTTTCATTTTTGAAGGATATTTTCACTGGATATAGAATTTAAGGTTGACAGTTTTTTTCTTTTAGCATTTTAAAGATACTCTTTCATTGTTCTCTGCCTTCCTTGCTTCTGATGAGAAGTTAGCCATTATTCTTTGCATTGTTTCCCTGTGTGTCATGTGTCTTTTTTCTTCTGACTGCTTTCAGGATTTTTTCTTTATTTTTTGTTTTCAGGAGGTTGACTATCATGTGTCTAAATGTGATTTTCACTGTATTTGATCTGCTTGGAATTCACTGAGCTTCTTGAATCTGTGGATTGATTTCATTCATCAATTTGAGAAAATTCTTGGCCATTATCATGTTAATATTTTTTGTCCTATTCTTTCCTCTGCTTCTGGAACTCCAGTTATACTTACATTAAAGTGTTTGATGTTGTCCCACAGATCTCAAATGTTTTTTTCATCTTTTCCCTTCTTTATATTTCAGTTCAGGTTTTTATTGATCTGTCTGTCTTAGGTTCACTGATTCTTTCCTCTGCTGTGTTCAATCTGATGATAAACTCATCAAAATAATTCTTTACTCCTGATATCATATTTTTCATTTCTAGAATTTTCATTCGCCTTTTTAAGAAATAATTTCTGTATCACTGCTGAAGTTCTCCATAATTTTATACTTGTCCATCTTTTCCACTAGACCCTTTAGTGTGCTTATCACAGTTATTTTAAATGCCCTATCTGATAATTCCAACATTTGGGCCATCTCTGGGACTAGTTCTGTTGGACTCTTTTCTGTCCTGTCAGTGAGTCACACTTTCTGGCGTCTTCATGTGTCTGTCTCGTAATTTTTGATTGAATGCCAGATGTGTAAAAGAGTAGTAGAAACTAAAGTGGGTTATCGTTATGCTCAGAGAAGGGTGGTTGTTATTGTAGGTGAGTTGAGTTAGTCTAGTCTGTAGTTGAACTGGATCTGGGCTTTGTTGTTGCTTTATTTAGAATCAGTTCACCACTGCTTTCAAATTATTTACGGGTGGGATGAGAACTTTTTGTTTAGCAGGTATCTGAGTGCCTGGAGGGTTTGATTTAGTTCTTCTGCCCTACCCTCAGTCTTCAGCAGGCCCCATGTACCTGTACCTCGGGGTGCGGTGGAGAGGGATGCTCTCTCAGCTTTCCAGCCCCTCCCCCAAATACAGATGGCCAGTGATCCAACTAAACTTGTCTGTCCTGATGTCTTTTGGCTATCTTTTTGGTAATCCTGCTGAGGTCAAATAATTTCTTTTTCTTCTAGCCACTGCGGTGTGCAGATCAAAGCTCTGGCCAAAATCCATGCCTTTGTTCAAGACACGTGAGTGTTACCCACTTTCCAGAATTCACGTATTTTAAAGGAAGATCTTGTTTGCGCCTCCCCCTGAGCTCTATTGCATTTCAACAGACATTAAAAAACAGTTATTCTTTCATCTTATACTGTGCTGTGGTCTGTGAAGGATGCCAGAGAAACATATGGCATGAACTTTGCTCTTGAAAAGTTTACATTGTCTTTGGGCAGATAAGAGTAAGCCAGGGAGAGGATACAGGAAAAGTTATTAACAGTGTATTAGAGGTGTAGACTGGCGTAGCATGAGTAGAATACATGTTATTCAGGGGGCATGAAGAGATAGGCCTAGTCAAGGAAAACCTCTGGTAGGAGGTGAGCATAAGCTAATTCAGCATTGCGAGGCATAGTGACATCCTCTGGGATGGGCTTAATGTGGCCTGTTTCAGCAGAGGGGGAGCCAGATGTGCTGATAGGTGATTGGAAGAAGGGCGTGGAGGGATCCTGGCATCTGGGGTAGTCAGGAGGGCAGTCTTCTCCCTTCCTATTGTGGTGGAAATGGGAGGGAATCCCACTCTGTGTGCATCTGAGCTCCTGTCTTCTAAGAGTCAGGGCTGTGTAAGTGTCATAAGCACGCTAGGCTAATGGCCTCTGTGTGTGCATGCACGTGCTCACTCATGCAGGCCTCTCCTCCGTGGGGTTCTGAGGGGCATGCAGGGTAGGGTCGTTGTGCTTCTTGGAGGTTTTAACCACTTACTGGCTTTGTTTTTCTAGAACCCTGAGTGAGCCTCGGCAGGCAGAGATCCGGAAAGAGTGCCTCCGACTCTGGGGTGTAAGCATTTCCCCCAGACCTTTGGTGCTCTAGGGCAGGGGAGCTGTAAAGAAGAATGTCTTCGTAGGGTCTCCTCAGCCCAAAAATATCTGTCTACCCTCACAGGATTCCAGGGCTAGCTGTCTCAGCATTGTTGGGAGTTACCTCCTTGACCATTTCACTGCCAGTTTGGCCTTGCAGCTGGGTCAGAAAATACAAGGGGTGGACAGGCTTCATTTTGCTGCTCGTGGCCCTGCCACTGGAGTGTCCATTGGGTGTGCTTCCATAGGGTCTGAAAGGGATTGGTGACTAAATTTCCCACCTCCATCCCCTTCATTCTGTCCTCCTTTGTTTTATGTCATTTTCTCTTCCCCAGTCGGAATCTATCCTCTTGCCCCCATACACGCCCACACAGCCTTGGCCAAAACGGCATTTGAAAATCAGAGTTCTGTGCTGTCTTATTTCAGATCCCAGACCAAGCTCGGGTTGCTCCTTCTTCCTCAGACCCAAAATCTAAGTTCTTTGAGCTAATCCAGGTAAGTTTGGTACCTGTGGTGGGAATAAGAAGTTAAAGAGACCTAACCATAGATGTGGAAGGTATCACTGAAACCCCCAGGTGCCTGGCCTCTGGAGGGCTTGTGCAGGTCTCACTCCTGGCTTCCAGGGACTGGACTGATGCTGCCTCAGTTAGGAAGCTTTGGGCTGGGGGTCTGGAGTTCCCCAAGAGCCCATCAGGTTGCCTGATGATTCTCATTCTGAGATATACTTGTGCTTAACATTCCTGCTGCCCAGAGGTGGTGCTGCTTCTCATGCTGTGTGGAGTGTGGTGTGGTTCTAAGCAGGGCAGCTGGGCAGAGAGCCAGTAAGGGGCTGCCAGAGTAGCTCTGCAGTGGGGTCAGGCCTAACCGCAGGTTCCCTGTCCTGTTTCTCGTAAGCCAGTCCTTGAAGTTCTTCTGCCTTCTGTTTTTCCTACTGCTCGACCTCCAGCTTTTCCCTAGATCTCAGTTAAATCTGGCCCAGAACATGGGCCATTGTGCTGGTTTTGTGAGGGCCGGGGACTAGAGAATGAGGTTTAGGATGGCCTTAGAAGAACACCATATGTACATTTTTCTCATTGGGGTGGAGAGATCACTTAACTGCTCTCAAACCAACTGCCGGAGAATCCTTGCCTTCAGTTTTATTGAAGGGTCAGCTTTTGTATTCTGATGACATTGCCGTATAGCTCTGCTAAATCGATCTGTACTTGGGGACTCGGTGTTCTTTCTTTTTCCGGCCTATCCTAATAGGTCCTAAAGGAACACTCCAAGCAGGAGGAAATAGATCCCATTTAGTGCGTGGTTAGGTAGAGAAGGGGGCGCAGGGGAACACAATCCAGAGAGCAAGTGCTTCCCCTCCCTTAACCTCTCCCAGCCTACCCCCACCCCTGTGCAGGCACCCATATTGGGTGCCTGTCCCTTCCCAAAACGCAGCAGTTTTTTCCTTGACCCACGGCTGCAGGGCACTGAGATTGACATCTTCAGCTACAAGCCCACACTACTCACCTCCAAAACCCTGGAGAAGATCCGCCCTGTGTTTGACTACCGCTGCATGGTGTCTGGCAGTGAGCAGAAGTTCCTCATTGGCCTGGGGGTAAGTCTGCAGCTGGCTCCCTACCCAGCTTGGATGGCTGAGCTCTCCGCTCTGTCTGTGGTACCTGGACAGCTGCCTGCCACATTGGGTGCATGTTCTTTTGGGCATGTACTTTCTCAGCCAGGAGCTGGGGCTTGTCTTGTCTTGGACAGTCCTTGGTCTCAGTGCAGATATTTCTTGTAACTTCATTTCCTTTTCTCTTCTGAGTTAGTCAGGTGTCATTCATTCATTCTTTCACTTATTCATGTATTTGTTTATTCAAATTTATGCCAGGCATTAGTCTTACCTGCCTCTGTTGCATCGCTGAAGGGAACACTCCCCCGTGTCTTGTGATATGGCGCTTCCCAGGCTAGCAGAATGGCCAGCAGGCTCATCTGGCTTGGGCACATGTAGCCACTTCTTTGCAACACCACTCCACCCCATGCCATGCCCTGTGTTGCAAAGACACTATGTGTCCTTACCCTGGGGCCCTTGGAGTGTAAAATGAGGTGGGGGAAAGCTTTGGTAGTGCTATATTTTACTTCATTGGGTGAAGTTATTCCTTCTTTCAGCTCTGACTTGTCTTTCTACATAATTTAACCTCTTCCTTCTCATTTACTGCCTGCACCCTCTCACACTTTCTTTTCTCCTTTTACTTTTCTCTCCTCGTGTATGCTTTCTGGACCCTTCACCAGACCCACCCCAGACATACACCAAACTCGATCTTTCTTGAGGGCCCCAATCATAGACTGTGCCTTTGGAATGGTGGACCTTATTGCATTGGGACTGTTCCCTACCAAAAGAACAAGCCAGAACCTCTACTCTTCTGCTGAGGCAGTGAAGGATGACACTGCCATTGTCACTGAAGTATAACTTAGATTAATCTCAGCTAGACATTTTTTGCTGACATTTCACAAACTCATCATCAGCTTGTAGCCACCAGTTAAGAGACTTTTTTTGAGAACTGAGCCTTTCACCCCTTAGTTTCCATGCCTGTCTGACCTGATCTTTTCTCTCTGCCTGTAGAAGTCCCAGATCTACACGTGGGATGGGCGCCAATCAGACCGATGGGTCAAGCTAGACCTGAAGACAGAGCTACCCCGGGACACTCTGCTGTCTGTGGAGATTGTCCATGAGCTGAAAGGGGAGGTCAGAGGTGGTTCTGCTCACGTGTTCTTACCCTGCCAGCTGGGGGACTGGGCACTGCTAAGCCTGGCCCTTTGTCCTGAGTTAACTTGGTTACATTGTGTGTGGTGGTTGCCAGGGCCCAGCGCTGGGGGTTGGCTGTGTAGTTTTTCCTTCTCTCTCCTTGAGCAGTTACTCTAAGCCACAGCATACTCCAGGAGGAAAGACCATGGTCTCCATGTGTGTAGGAGGAGCCTGTGATTATCTCCGTTCATGGAGGGCCTGGTGGGCTTGCTTGGTGTTGTTTTAGCAGCTGATTTATTTTTTGACCACGGATCCCTGGGAAAGAAGTTACTTATTATTTCCCAGGAGCTTTGGGTATTATAGCCATATGGGTGACATTTGGAACTGTCATTGGGAGCAGTTGGCACAGGGTGGGAAGCCAGGCCCTGAGCTGGAGCACCATGACAGCAGCAGCCTCACTGGGTTTGAAGTTCAAGGGGGCTTGTCACCCAAAGCCTCAAATTTCCCTCTGCTCCGAAGCCCAGGCCAGTCTGGTGCTGAGAATCAGCTGGGAGGGAGGCAAGAGAAATACCTGTGTTTAGAGCCCTGCCTTGCCTTGGCTGTGGGTGGAAAGGAGCCAGTATGACATGGTGGGCAGAGTAGGCAAAGGCCAATGTCTTGCAGGGTGGCAACGTACTTGTCCTTTTAGGGGAAGGCCCAGCGGAAGATTAGTGCCATCCACATCCTCGATGTCCTCGTGCTGAATGGCAGCGACGTGAGGGAGCAGCACTTTAACCAGCGGTCTGACCCGGGCCCCGGAGTGGGAGGGTAGAGGTGGGCCCACAAGCTCGGTGGGCAGCAAGCCTCCAAGGCTGGGCCCCTTGCTTAACTGGCCTTCTCTGTCCAAACACGTCCTTAGCTTTCCTCTCTCACCCACTGGCTGGTCACAAAAGCAGGGTAAAAAATTGATGTTGCCACTTCAGAGTTTGCTAGGGCTTGGGTCTTGGTTGCCATCAATACCAACTCACTCCATTTTGCCACAGCTGCTCAGATCAGAGGTGACTTTTATATTAAGGTTGAGCAAGAGGGCGTCCTTGTGGAAAGATAGGGTCTTCTCTGAAGAATGTAGCTTGTGCTTGGGTGGTCCCGTTTAAGGCAGTTCATCTGAGTGGGTGCACTATAGTATCTGGGGTTTGAGGTGAAGAGGCAGACAGATACAGTAAAGATGATGTTCTAGTGGAGGTGACTGAGCACAGCTGAAGACACACTTCTGGAAAACCAACCAATACATCCTGAAATTAGAAGTCAAATTCCAGGAAGAGGAGAGGGCCTGAAAAAAGATGTTAGTGGAGGAGGGCAGGGTGGGCTTCCCGGAGGACATGAGTGCTGCCTCTTGGAGCAGTTTTGCTGTAGACTGGGGAGTGTTCTCCCACTGGCACTGTGAAAATGCCTGGGGGATATGGGTGCTGGTGGACCTTTGCTTGCCTCTGAGACACACTGTTTGCATTGTAGAATTCAGCTTGCTGAGAAATTTGTGAAAGCTGTTTCCAAGCCTAGTCGGCCTGACATGAATCCCATCAGGTGAGCATATCTCTTCCATCCCCACTCACCCCTCCCTGTTGCTTCTTTCTGGTAGGCAGCCCCTTGGCCCCAGATTATGTCCTCAGCCTGCCTGTCACAGTGGGTGACCCTCCACAGGCGGAGATGCATTCCTGCCATTAAGGCACACCTGAGCATCCTTATTTAAGGTGCACGTGCTTCTGAGCTCACTAATATACCTTGTGAATCTCCCATTCATGCCTGGTTATCATTAGCATATCACCCCCCCCCCCTTTTTTTTTCCCAGGTAAGAGAAATTGCTGAGGGAATGAGAGTTTTAAATGTGAAAAAAGGAGGATGGTTTGAGGGAGTGGGGCCCTGGTACTTGAGGAGAATGACCAGGGCTGCCATGTTAGGTAGTATGAAACTTCCAGGCCCCTCGGGGGTGAGGAGGTCAGGAACAGAGTCAGGGAGAAGGTGACAGAGAACAAGCTTTTCCAGGGTCGGCCACGGTCTGAGGTTATGACCAGAAGGGCATTGCCTAGCCCTGCTGCTTGGCACGTCATACTCTTGGAGTCTCAGGTGTCTCCATTTACCTATTAACAAAATAATTTTTATTGTTCTTTTTAATGTAGATTTACTTAAGTAAAATTAAATTTAAGATGAAGAATACATTTTATAGGTGTCATCTGAAAGTCCAAAAGCAATTTCTGTCTGCCCTTTAAAATGTCCTATATGCCAGTCCTGAAAGGCAGCTTCCAAGGACCCTGACTCTGATGCTTGTGGTCGGGTTACTGGGTCTCTGGGGATGTTTCCCAGTAGCAGCTCCAAAGGCATGTTCAAGGGCTCCCCAGAGGCAGGGGACTGGGCCTCAGATAGGAGGCCTGCCTCCCCACCCCCAGGAAGCCTTTGACCTCTCTCCATCCCTCTACCTGCAGGGTGAAGGAGGTGTACAGGCTGGAGGAGATGGAGAAGATTTTTGTCAGGTGAGAGACTCAACCAGGTAGCTCAGGATTTGAGAGGTGTTGGAGCTATAGCATCACTATGAATTACAGTCGACTCAGTGGCAATGGGTTTGGTTTTTTCTGGAGGGGTTGGGGGCAGTGGTGTGGCAGTGCCCAGGATTCATTCCGTGTTATTTGTAGAGATGAACTGGGGTGGGGTGGTGGATTGGCCCTGGCAGGCTGCCTCTCCCCCCACCTCACTTGCCTCAGTGTGGCTGTGCTGCAGCCAAGAGCCCCCCAACTGAGCGCTGATTCAGCACCCTGTCAGGAGTAGAGCAGGGCTGTGTGTGTCAGGCAGAAATACGGGCTCATTGATGCTGTAATAGTTACGATTGTCCCTGTGAGGGACAGAGCAGCAAGCTGCTCAAAACACCATAAATCCCAGCTCCTGGTGCTGACAGAGAGATTGAGCCCGGAGGGGTAGAGGGAGCATAAACACTCCCTCTTATTCTTAGCGGTATGTGGGGCATTCCCAGATCTGTGGGTCTGATCCTGGGGGTGTGTGTGTGTGTGCTCTGGTCACCAGGGAGTTGGCTGGTATCTGCTCTCCTGGCTGTGTTTTACTGCAGACTGTTCAGTGGCCACAGTAATGCCATGGGTGATGGACTGAAGACCCAGTGGCACCTGTGGTCCCTGATCTCACCCTCGCTGGTGTCACCTTAAAACCCCCAAACAGCAGTAACACAGCAGGATCATCTGCCCCTCCCTACCTCCATTTCTTGATTGGGAGTTGAGAGCCTGAGTTCTAAACCCAATACTGCCACTAACAAACTTGCTGTGTGGCCTGGAGCAGCTCACTGAAGTCTTCATGCCTCAGTTTCTTCTTACATTGAACGGGATAAAATATTCTAGTTGGTGTGATTTTGATGCTAACCAGAGACTAACGTTCATACTTTCTCTCACATGCACACACTTGTACTTCCTGTCTGCACGCCTCCTCGGGGCAATCAGGTTAGAGATGAAGATCATCAAGGGTTCTGGTGGCACACCCAAGCTCAGCTACACAGGGCGGGACGACCGGCACTTTGTTCCCACTGGCCTCTACATCGTCAGGACAGTGAATGGTGGGTGAGGAGTGACTGCCCTCCCCCACCCCCACCCTCTTCTTCGCCAGCCAGGGCGATTGCCCAGACCTACCTGAGCCAGGCTAAACGTCCCACCAAGGCAGGTAGCAGCAGGGCTGGCAGTTCACTGAGGTGTATGTTGGGGTGACCGTGTTCCCTGAGCTCTTCTGTTCTTTCGTGTGCCTTGGGGGTTGGGTTGGGGTGGGGAGAGGGAGCCCAACCTGTATATGTGCACATGAGGCAGTGGGAAGGGCCTTCTTGGTGGGCAGCCACAGATCCTGAAAGTCACACTTAGCCTCTTGTCAATTTGGATCCCTGGTAGCGTTCCTTTCTTCAGTGCCCTCTGGCTAACAGAGTCCCAGTCCCTCTGCCAGGGGCCCAGGGATGTAGCCCTGATGGCAGGTTGGCAGGACTGGGGCTGGGCTGTGGAGAAGTAGTCATCCTCCTGGACCCCCTTTGACTGGTGGTGAGGACTGCATCCTCACAGCTCTTCCGCGCCTGCCTTCTAGGGAGGGGGTAGTGGAGAGGCATTGCCCCTACAGTGGCAGAGCTGTCCCCCACGGGTACTTTGTGTCCTTTCTGGGCTCCTTTCCCTCTTCCTCCTATCAGAGCCATGGACTATGGCATTCAGCAAAAGCTTTAAGAGGAAGTTCTTCTACAATAAGAGAACCAAGACCTCTACCTACGTCCTGCCTACAGACTCCATTGCTCCATTTCAGTGAGTAGCCCTCCTCCAGGCCTGCCCCTTCTGCAGCCCCAGGTATTACTACCAGGACATGCTCTGTGTTCTGAGACTGATGGGCTGCCCTTGCAGCGGCTCCCCTGGGTGGGCAGGCTGTGTTCCTGTTGGGACTACCCTCCTCCCCGCAGGGGTGGGGATGGTGGCCCGCTGCAGGTCATGGCTGGGCCTGAGTAGTAAACTTCCTGAGAGGAGCTGTGATGCCAGGCCCTGCCGTGATGGTTGGGAGTCCTGGGTGTGAAATCATCTGCTCAGGAAGTAGCCCCTGCTTGCGGGATGTTCTGACACTGACCCTATGATGGGAACATGCTGAGGGCCCACAGCGTTGTCCCTTGGATGCAGGACCCCAGCCCTCCCTTGTCAGGACCCAGTGTCTGTTTACCAGATTGTTGGTCACAGGTTTTGACAGCAGCCCACAGCCCTAATGTGCCTATAATTAGCCATCGACACTTGTTTCTGTCACCACACTAATACTGTTTATTAGAGCAGCAGTGACAGATAAACCAGAAATATGAGTAATTGTAAGAATCTACTTGGATGCAGTTAGCTGCAGCAGCTGTTTGTTGGGAAAAACTCGGTTCTGCAAGGCAGGAAGAAGGAGTAGAGGCCTTTTGGCTGCCAGAGGGAAGACCCCAAATTGGAGTCCTTGGCAGACTCTCCTCACCCTTCACCAGCCTTGAAGGACACCCAAGTCACTGCTGCCAGGTGTGTGACAGTGGTCTATTGGTCCTACTCCACCTGGGTGCAGCCTCTGACCTCTTCCCCTCCCTCTCCTCCTTCCCAGCGTCTGCTACTTTAGCCGGCTCTTCTGGGAGTGGGGGGATGGCATACGTGTGCACGACTCCCAGAAGCCCCAGGACCCGGACAAGCTGTCCAAGGAGGATGTCCTGTCCTTCATCCAGACACACAGCGCCTGAGGACCTCAGGCTGCCCACCCCTGCTGCCTGCCCTGCCACTCACTAGGCAGGGTGCTCTGTGCCTGGGTCCCCAGTGCTGGCTTTCCTCCTCCTCTTGGAATGAGATTGCAGCGCATGGTCACTGCAGCCTGGCCATGAGGGGGGTGGCCTCCTTGTCATCTCCCCTGAAGAGCGCAGTCAGGGGCCTTCAGAGGACACTCACACGTTCTTTCTGGGACACCTTTTGGGCTCCTCTGTCCAGGGACAAGCCTGGGAACTGTTCCCCCTGCCAGAACTCAGCCTGAAGGAAGCTGCCCCTGCGGTGGGTTTGAGGTCAGTGCCCTGGGCACATGGGGCTGGTGGAGGAAGTGTCGGAGAGTGGCAGGGCTTGGGCTCAGCTGTTCTCTCCTGTATCCTGTAGACTCACTTTTCTGAGTTCCATGCACTGCCCCTGAGGGTGGCCATGCCCCTGCTTTGCCCAACTTTTTATTGGGCGAACCCTGAGCAGGGGGAGGCCCACTGTCGTGAGCTGGCCAGGAGGAGCTGCTGTGTAAATCAAGGCTTTGTTTCTTTGAACTTCCTCTGTTTTGATGCCAAGTTGGTGATTTTCTTGTCTCCTCACCACGTACCATGTCCTGGCCTTCCCTGGAGTTCTTCCCAGCCTGGACCTCTGACAGTCCCGGCAGGCCGGGAAGGGAGGAGTGTGGGTCCCACGTCCCTGACCTCACATCTGGACCAGGTAGTGCCTTCTCTGGTACTGGACGTGACTGCCTTCTGGGGTTGGAGAGCCTTCCTGAGCCCCATCCCCTTTCATCCAAACCTTGGGCAGCTCTAGAAGGGGAGGATGCAGCTTGAAGATCTGCCATCTTCTCTCCTCCAGCAGCAGTGGCCCCACCAGTAACAGAGGGCACCTCTGGAGTTTGGGTCAGTGCCCAGCCATCTGGCAATCATGGCGCCACCATTGGCCATAGCTGGCCTAGGGCCTTGGCAGAATTCTGAGAGCCAGAGCAGCTCCTCGCCACCCTTTTCCCTCCTTTGTTTTTCTTCCTCAATAGGAGATACAATCTGCTTTCCTTTGTCCTTATGTGGACACTCCCATTTCCTCTATCTTGGCGGAGGCAGAGGGAAGAGGGGAGGCTGGGCAGTAGCTTTTGGGGACAGGGGAGGGCATCTGTGGTTGTTTTTAATGGGAAATACCTCTCAGAGATGCTCCCTAGGGCCTCCCTAGGGCCCCATTCCAGTGCTAGACTGGTTTCCATGGAGATAGTGCACCGTATCTCCCGAGAGGTTGGAATCGACTCCATCGTGGGGGTCTTCCAGCCAGCATCCAGCGCCACCCCCGCTCCCCCCTAGCTGGCAGCAGCACTGCTGAGATGTTGTATTTCCACCCAATTCTGGGTATATCGTGTGTCTTGCAAAATCTTGGGTCATTAAAGATAAACATATTTTTATTGCCTGTGTGGCTCTGTGCTGGGGCTGCTGCTGTTTGTCCTTGGTGCTTTGTGGTCTGGGACTGGCTTGGATGAAATAGCCTGGGGTGAAGGTGAAGGGGAAGGAGCTCAACTCAGAGAAGAGAGAGGGGAGACGGTTTGTTTAATCAGAGCTTGGTCCAAGCTGCTAGGCGCAGGGCTCCCAGGGCTGCTGCTCGCCGCTAGAGAGGGCACCCAAGTAGGCATCAGATGGGATAATGAAGGACCCACACCCCAGCAGGGCAGGAGACACCTTCCCCTTTCCATGAATCACACCGCTTATTCCACGGTGACACTGTGACAGTCCAAGATCAGCCTGTGTGACTAAAATAATGGAGGCGTCAGACCAATTAGTGTCACTAGACCTGGGTAAGGAGGGGGAGGGAGAGACAGGTTTGCTGACCCCTGGCCGTGCTGATGGTGCCTCCCTTTCCACTCAGGGTGTTCTTCACCAGTTCCCTCACACTGGTGCTGCCCACCCCCCCAAAAAAAAACCTGCCTACACTTGGCTTCTTAGCCCTGGCCCCTGAGGGTACCTCCTTGATGTGTCACAGCCCTTAGCTCCCTGGGACAACTCCTTTCCTTGTTGCTTTACTTATTTAATTGGTTTAATCTCAGCAGCTCAAGCCCTTCGTTTTGGTCACCTATTCTGCTCTGCCTTGCTCTAGCCTCCTGCTCCCTAACTTCTTCCCCAGCTGGACCAGGAGTGGAGTTGGGGGGCATGTTCAGGGGCAGTGGGTGATGTCTGTGTTTGCAGCTCCCGCCTCCCTGCCGTCCTCCCTCGTACTCTGTTCCCTCCCTACCGCCTCTCACTGCAAACCCCGCCTGATTTACTGGCCACTGTCACCATAAGTCTGTCTGGTCATTACCATGGCTCTTGCTGCCCACTTGCTCTCTGTGAGGCCTCACCAGCCCTGCCTGCCTCTCGAAGATGGATTAACTCCGTGCTCCCCTGGGACCTCCTCATGGCCACTTCAAGTCCCCAAGTTGCCCTTCACTGCACAGGCTGCATTTTTTCTGCCATAATTACAGGCAGTAGCTCTGACTGCAGGGCAAGGCAGTGTGCGTGGTGGGATGGCAGGTGGTGTACTGTCTGCCTGCAGCCCCAGTAGCACCCAGGCCCTGGAAGTGGCTCCTGGCATAGTTGTGGCTTAGAAAGTGCTTCCCGCTGTTTCCCTCCTTATCTGCTGTTTAAGTAGGAGCTCAGCTTCGCAGCACCCCTCCTCCCTTTCTTCTGAGTTCTAAGCCAATAGCTTTCCCTTGAACATCTCTTCTTCCTTGATTCCCACGTGCTTCCCCGGCCGCCCCCAGCCACAGTCAGACCATGACATTTACTTAGCTGTCAGAAGCAGCCTGGTGCTCTTTATTGCCTCTCCCTTGGGCTCAGGGAGGAGCCAGCACAATGTCTTTCTGGAGACCCAGGCCCCATAGCAGGCCAGGGAGGCAAGAGGGGCTGGGCCAGGCCTCGTTCCCAAAGGCTGGGCAGATGCAAAACCGCATTCGAGCGTCTGGGTCGGGGAGAAGTGCTCCTAGCACCTTGGTCCTCTTGAGGCTTGAAGGGCCTGCTTGTTCCTGACAAGAACCTGAGAGCTGCCTGCACTGGCTGTGGGGAATCCCAGGCTCACATGGTCCAGCAGACGTAGACGAGGGTCAGGAGGATGAAGATGGCCACAGAGAGCAGCATGTTCTTCCGGTTCTCTTGCCGAAGCAACTTTAGCTCTCTCTCTGGGAGGAAAAAGGTGGTGGGTGGGAGAGGTAGTTTGGACCCCTCTCGTCTGCCTCTGCCTCTGCCTCCCCATCTCTCGTCAACAAATGGGTGCACACACACTGCTGAGGGCAGATGTGTCCCATCCCAGCCACTTCCTTCCTTATCCACAAAAATGACCTGTCCTTGATCTGCCCACATCCTCACGTCTTTGGTTACAGATCCTGGCCTAATAACGTCCCAGCCATTTCTCTTCAAGTGCAGTTTAGGTTGAGGACGGAATGTGTGAAGTGTCACTAAAAAGGATGCATCTGAAAGCCAAGGTAGGAGGTGCCATGGGATCACCAGCTGATCCTCTCTGTGGTACTCATCCTTCCAGGGGTCTCATCTGGCCAACTAGATCTGAGGGCAGGGGCCTTCTTGGGCCTGACAATAGGGCAGGGGCAGGGTGGGGCCACACCATCGGTGCTTCCGTTCCACAGAGGTTCCCTGAGCACCCCTTGCCCCTGCTGGGTGCCCAGCTAAGCCAGGAGCTAGGGATGCTGAGAGGAGGCAGCTTGTGCCCACAAGACACTGTCTTGGCTCTAGGGGAAGTCAGTCCTGTTATTCTGCTGCCATGTGTATATCTGGTCATCCCCTCCATGTGACACACAGGCGGCGGATACTTTGTTAGGGCTAAATTGAGTGGCAGTGCTGCGACTCTATAAAAATTGCTGGCCTTGAGAACCGATGTCTCAGCCCTACCTGGATGAGGGCAGGGGATGGAGACACCTGCAAACCAGCTCTGGGCAGGCCAGTTCCAGCCTGGGGCCAGGATACCCCCTGGTCCAGCCAAGTTTAATTACAGGGGCATGTAATTAATGTGTGTTATATGTGTGTGTGCTCAGTGCTTAAAGTGTTGTTTCAGGAAGCTCCTTCTGGAAGGTTCCCTGCTATCTGGGCTATTTTGGGGCCGATTCTTGTCCCCCAAGAGGGAGAATAGAAGGGACAAGTCTGAGGAGCCTCCTACAGACTGTTTTCCTCCCTGGCTTCTGGGGGCCAGGCCTGCAAGGCAGCGAGTGCCGGGCAGCTACCCCCATCCCTCTAGCCTCGTTCCCCGCCTGGGCTCTACCTGGCTCTGCCCCCAGCACCCAGAAGGTGGCAGCATTGCTCCACCCACAGGAGCCCTTCCGTGCCCTGGTGGAGGCTCATCTTCCTTCACCAGGCCCCACTCCCTTCACAGGGTTTTCAGTGGGAGGGAGTGGAAGGCTGGGAGGGGAGAAGGAGGCTGAGTGGATGTAAGTCTCTGGACCTGGATGCAAAAAGGGAGAAGAGGGTCCTGTACATAGGCCACCTCTCTCCTTCCCTTAGAACAAAGGAACAAACTCGCTCTCCTCCCAGGCTGGGGATGCCTCCAAGGCAGCTGGGCCTGCAGAGGATTCCTGCAGCCTCCTGGGAGCTGGCTCCCTCCAAAGAGCCCCCTTGCTTCCTGCCACCTCGTCAGGCTCCCTGGGCCGTCTGACCTCTCCAACTCTGGGGACTAGAGGTTGGGACTGGTAAGGGAAATTTCTTACCATAGTTGGAGGCTTTGCTCATCAGGCTGTTTTTCTCCTTCTCCAGAGACCTCCTGTGAGGGGGAAAGGAATTTTATAGCTCAAGCCCTTTCCTCCTTCCCACCTAAGGAGCAGCCAGCACACCTGGCTGGACAAGGGGGACAAGGGCTTAGGTCTCCAGTAGCAGGTAGGGGAGCAGGAAGGTGGAGACTTGCCTTAGAGACAACAAAGCACAATAGTGTGTGAGTGCCTCAGAACTGGGGGGCAGGTGAACACCAAGGCCCAAGCCAGTGAATACCCCAGGGTTCTGGTGAAAAGAGGTGTGGGAAATACTTGGGCAGAATATGTGGGGCAGGGTGGGAGAGAGGCTTCCTGAGATGGAAGCTCAGCAGCCAGGGCTCCAGACCCTCGGCCTCAAGTCTAGCTCACTTTGGGACCCCAGGATAGATGAGGGGCAGAGATAGGGCAAGGTGGGGTAGCGGGGCAGAAGTACTACCTGGCCTCTGGGCTCAGCTCTGCCTGGTGGAGCCTGTCGTCCACGGCCTCCAGGTCCCTCCGACACTGGGAAAGCTTCTTCTCCAGGCCATCGATCTGAAACACAGCACACCGAGAAGGCAGCACTCATTCAGCTTCCAAAACACTGGGGTTGGAGGAGGGAGCAGGTTCCCTCCCCTCAAGGCCCACAGGAATTTTTGTGGGCAGGGGGCCCAGGCACCTTTTCCCTAGAGCATCTATTTTGCTGTCCTTTACCCTCCACCCTACCCCACCCCCGTGGTTCAGCTCTGGGCTGCACAGGGCAGCAAGCAGCCTGAGCCCTTCCTAAACCAGGGCTGTCCCCTGCTCCTTGTCCACTTCCACCCTGCTGGGGGGTGAGGGAAACTCACAGCCGCCCTGACTCTCTAGGCCACATGTGGGTGGGGTGGACTGGGACTAGCCCTGCAGTCAACTCTGACTCCCCAGCACGAAGCCCCAGGTGGGCCCTCAACAGTAGCACCCAGAGCTCTGAGTGCACACCTGCCTCCTGCGGGCTTCTCTTGCAGTGAAACAAGGTGGTATGAGGCCCCGGGCTTCTAAGCACACACATGAGGGGCGGAGGATTAGGAATCTAGGGGCCAGAAAGCGTGGGCATTTTTTTCATTGACACACTTCATCTTGGTATTTTTCCCATGAGAATCAATAAAAATTACTGTGTGGAAAAAAAAATGCAGCTCGTAAACACTTCACTTCTCTTTCTGAGTTGGTTCTTGTGTAAAAACACTGCCCATCATTGACACAGATGTAACTTGGGTGGCAAAACAGCTATGCTCCTGAAAGGTTGGTCGAAAAAGGTAGTTTTCCCATTTGTTTTGACTATAATTTCAGATGTGTTCTTGGGAAGTAATCTGGGTTGTGGAGACATATTTTATAAAATACTGGACTAAGTGGTTCAAGCCTGGTTCTGCCATTGTGCATTTGGCTGTGAAAACCCATCTCTCCCTGTTCATGTGTCTCTGACTCAGTTTCTAGTTGTCTGTCTAATTGGCCACCTCTCTGGGCCTGAGCCTGCTCCTTGTTCTTTTCTGCCCTGCTGGTGGGAGCCTAGAGTAGGTTGGGGAAGGTTCAGAGGGCCCTGTGTCCCTCGGCAGCTGACTGAATGGTGCCTTGGGTCCCTGTAATGCCTGCTTTTCCATCTCTGACTTCACTTATTCCCACCATATCCCTGGGAGGGATAGGAAGTATGACCTCCACTTCACAAAGGGGAGAATAGGATCCCCAAATGGAATAACTTTTTTGAGGAGTCAGAGTGAAGCACCCTCTCCTTATCTGTCTCCTTTCCTTTGTGGAGTGACCCCTGCAGAGAAGGTAATCTATGGCTGCATTGACTCAGGAAGGCAGGAAGGTGAGGATTCAGAACCTGGGCTCCTGCAGGCTGGGCCCCAGGAGAGTTGAATTCTAAGTGGCCTTCTTGCTGCCCGCTGCCCCTCTCCCCAGCCAGCACCCAACTCGACCACTTCTGGGTCAGCCACTTTCTCTTCCCCACACACAGCCCAGATGACACACCATCCACCCCCTTCCTTGCAGCCGCAGCCCTCTGCCAGTTCCAGATCCTCAAGCAGGGCCCTGTGGGAGGGAGCAACTGCAAAACCTTGAGTTAATTGCCTGGTTAATTGTGTCATTTCCCTGCTAATGGGCACCAAAGGGAGGGCCGTCCTGGGAAACAGCCCCAGTCAGGAGATGGGGTCTGTGCCTGGGGAGGCTGAAGGCCTTCCTGGAAGCTGCACTGTGGGGAAATGAACATGGACAGCCAGGTTCAGGGAAGAGGAATGGTCTGATGGCGATGGCCAGTGGAGCTGGGAAGAGTAGGGACTTCAGGACCCACACGGCACTCCCCAACACACACCGCCCAGCCCCACAGGACCCTGATGCATGCTGCTTCCGTGATGGTGAAACAATCAGGGCACCAAATTCCACACTGAGTCCTGAACAAAGCTTACTTCTCGAAGCTCTACCTCTTCCATGAGGCCTTCAGTGCTGCCCTTGGCTGGAGGGGTACTGTCCTCCCTCCCCTGACAAATTAATCCATCCTCTCATGAGACTGAGCATACTCTTACATTCTTCACTTGTGTGTGTCCAAACCTTATCTTCCCCAAAGTCCAGGAGCCCCTAGGGCAGATGATGTAAACTGGCAGCCCCCTGGTCATGTCTGGTCCACAGGTTGGGCCATTACACATGTGACCTGCCTGGCCCCTGAGGATGCATGAGTCTGTAGCTCCTGTCCTAGAGGGCAAGGGGACCATCTGTCTCTGTGCCCACAAGGCTGGGCCCACAGCGGTCTTCGTAGCTGTGGAGGAATGAGTGGGGCCAAGGAACTAGGGACAGATGGTTTAGGCCTCATGTAGCAACTGGAGTCTGAAATCCTCCCCTCATGCCCACAGAAGCTAGAAGAAACAACTATACATGCACATAGATCATGCACTTTGCAGATGACCCAATGCAAATTTTAGTCCTAGGTTAGATTTCTGCCTGCCACCCCTTAGGCCAGTCCTTGCTTTGCACGTCATTCTAAGGAAGGAGTAGGTTGGGGATTTTCATCCCTAAATACCTCTGAAAGGCTGCCAGCTGCCTAAATAAGTGGTATTGGCCCAGAGCAAGGCCAGGAACTCATGCTAAGCAAAATCTTAGAACTGAGGTTGGCAAACCACAAGTGGCCACACCAATCTGCCAGCATGCTCTGGGTAGGGCCTGCGGAGCTAGCAGCCAGAGGCCTTTATCTGAACAAGCCCGATTTATCCTCAGTTCCACTGAATATCCCCACTTTCATTTACCACTTTTTAATGAGGCTTAAATGGGCGAACACAAATCAAGGTTTTAGGAACTCAAGTTCTAACCTCCCTCTATGAATATTTATGTCCTGCTGACAGCTCTCTGATTCCCTTCTAAATAGCAAGTTCCCCTTCTTTATCACCCAGCTGCTTGATGTGGGCCAAGTGAGAGGAGGCTGAGAGTAGCAGAAGGCTCTTGCATTTGTAGACCACAAACGCACCCTCAGGTGACCCACTGGGTCCCCAGCTGGCCCTGGTTCTGGAAGCTGGCAGTCACACACCCTGCAGCACTTGCTAAAGCAGAAGTCGGCTCTCAGGCAGCTGTAATAATGGGTGCAGACTCTGGGTGACCTCCTGGCTGCAGAGAAGGCAGGGAGGGAGGGGCAGGACAACTGCATCCTTTAGTTACGACTGGGGTCAGGAGTGGAGCGTGCCCAACAAGACAGCACCAGGAAGAGGAGAGAGATCCTGGAAAGAGGGCCTCCAAAGAGGTCTCTAGTTGGATTTTCAGTCAACTCTCAGCTACATGTATGTGGGTTATGCACTTTGCAGATTAGCCAATGCAGATCTGTAGTCCTTGGTTAGCTTTCTCCCTGCCAACAGGCTGAAGGCAACAGAGGACTGGCAGGGACAAGATAGCTAGGATTGGACAGAACAAGAACACAAAATGTCAGATCCTAGTGCAAGGGTCAGAGCTGGGCAAGTAGTTGGGAGCCTGAAGTGCTGGAAGCCTGGAATCAGGGCTCCATGTCCTGGTAAAGAGCATGGGCTCTAAGCAGATGCCTTGGCTCTGCCACTTACTGCCGTATGACTGGGCGAGTCACTTAATTCTGTGCCTGTTTCCTCAGGTGTAAAACAATAATGTTTCATGTCTCAAAGAGTTCTGAGGGTAATATGAGGCAATACACGTAAGGTGTTTAGAATAGTGCCTAACGTAGTAAAAGCTCAATAAAAGTGTTTTCTGTCATTATCACAGCGTGGTTTTCGCTGGAACTTTGGGGGAGTAAAAAGAAAACCAAGTTAATTTGTGGCAAGAGTAAGGAAGAGAGAAGTGGAGGTGTAAGATGGAGTGAACTTTCCATTGGTTACTGGCCGGCAGCAGGAAGGGGAGCCCCTGTGGCTTGGATTTGGGCCAGTCATCTGAGACTATGTTGGGCTTCAGCAGTGAGGGGCCCCCAGGGTAGACCATCAGAACAGCAACACCTCCGCGGGCCAGATAGTCCAGCTGTGCCTGGGAACCTCATGATCTTGCCTCGGGGGAGGAAGCTGGGGTGGATGAGAGGGCTAGAGCGGTGTCCAAAGGTAGAAGAGACTCAGGTGTGACCTGGGCACCGTGGGCATCTGAGGAGATGTGAATGGCAGGTGGAGCCTGGCGGCAGGAGTCGGGGTTCACCCCCCACCATGGCCCAAGGGGCCTAGCATCCAGCTAAACTGGGGGCTGGAACGCGAAGCCCGGAAACTAGGCAAAAGAGGTCCCATCAAAGGGATTGGACCGACCCAGTGGGTAAGGAAGGCTACACTCCAGAGGCTATGGAGGTTCCCAGGACTCCTGCCAGACAGGCTGGAGAGGGGTCTGGCAGGAAGAGCCATGGCAGGCCGAGGACTGGCTCAGGTGCTGGACTTGCCTGGAGCTGGAGGGGCAGCCCTGCCTGCTGCAGCTGCCATAGGCAAAGCGGAAAATGGCCACAGTGGTCTCATTCAGGCCCGCTATGGGGGCAGAGAGACAGATCCACTCCCCCACGCACCGATGCACAATAACATTCAGGAGTGTCCATGCAAACATTTATATTCAGAAAACCAAGTGTCAGAGCACAGACAGGCCAGCAGGTGAAGCAGGGCTTTGGGCTGGAGGGGTAGCAGAGGGGACACCAGGAAATAAGAAAGGATGGTGGTGTGAGTTCCTCACAAGTCAGTAAACTCCTTCGGGGCGGCACTCCCAGAGCTGCAGCCCTGGCAGGTGCTGTGTAAGCCCGTGTGGGCAGTTCAAGGGACCGGAAAGTGCAAGGTGTCCTTGTGGGAACATGTTCTTGGTCCAGAGGCCAGCAGCTGGGCTAAAAGTGCCCATGGGGCTGCAGGGGAGAAGCGAGGGAGGAGGAAAAGGGAGAAAAAAGAGGCGCAGGAGGTGGCCATGGTGGAAGCAGCATCCTCCAGTCCCTTAAGTGGAAGGGAGTCGCAGGTCCACAGGGGGAGGCCTGGAAGCTGGGATCCAGTAAGTCTGCATTTCAACAACAATAACAAAAAGCCCGCTGCCCAGCAGGATGGAACCACTGCCTTTCATTATCCAAGCAA